CTCTTCATCATACTCATTCTTAGATTCTTTTGTTAAACACATGGACGACAATACGCAGCAATATCAGGACAGTTTTTTTTTGATAAAAATTCAACGTAATCCTTGGTACTTTTTCTGACAGAGCTACTGATACACCAATGAAGGGTATATATGGACCCAAGGATCAAGGAAGATGTTTTTGAATGGACAACTAGTGCTCTAACACCATCATATTCTAAAGACTTTTAAAAAAACGAAACGAATGATTCGCGTGGTGTGGTGGTGAACGCGCTACTCCCTGGAAAGGACAATAGCGCGTTCGTTCCCCACCACGTACACCTGCGGTCCGGAGTTTTGCAAATATCTCAGCAATATTGTGATTGCATTTCGTTTTATAGCCTGCCATGAAACTTGTAGAAGACAGGAATTAAAAAGTTAACAATATTGGCAAGTAGTTGGCCACGAATTGTATTTTAGATTGGCGTACACAAACGATTTGTGGAAGAAATATCAATTACATAATATATTTGTGCAGGCGCATGTAACCTAGTGATTAAAGGCATATGAAACGATAAAGCTTCAATCCCGATGACGGTGTCGTTTCAATTGCAAGTCGTTGCTTCATCAATGAGAACGGATTTCAGCACTGAAGAAAGGAAAATGGCCCAAGGCTTTTATTCTAGCATCCACGCTGATTAAGAAATTAATATTGTAGCCCTTGAGTGGTACAATTTTTCAACAAGACATAGGCTCTTGGTGTGGTGTTATTGTGAATTGCCGTTCTCGTGCTATCAAAAGTTGGACGCTGACTGTAAGTTTGCTACTGAAATGAAAAATGAACGGGTCCTGCGGCTCTGGTTGGTCGGATATCGCTAAAGATTCTTTCTGAAGTGGTGCCGTTGTCATTTTTTCTATTTTCTTTGAAAGTTTGGCAAAGAACTTGTTAAAAGTTCAAGTTCAAGTGGAATGAGTTACTGTTTTTGCGAACAGCGTTTTCTCATGTAGGTAGGTGTGTAGTGTTCATATTTATTGTGCATTCAACAAGATCTTCCTTTATAATTTGACTCTTGATAATAACTTAATCACAGTTACGGCATGTACTACGATTTCCCATGATGTCTAGTCATTCTCTTTTTTCATGTTTCCACATATCCTCATAGCCTTTTGACAAACATCCTGCTTCCTCTCATTGGAACAGGAATGCGTCGCACTCGCGTCGCCACCTTTTTGATTTATATAGTCGCCTGGTAGGTTTGTTTAAGTGTAGATAGGAAAATTCATCGCAACTCGTATGCCATTCTACCTCATTTCTTTAGTCACCTTACATTTTTCTTTGATACACTGCCTAGTGATTGTGAGCAGGTCCATCGTCCTGCACTGTTAAATCATCGCTCTCGTTGTCCTCTGAATACTTAATACTTGAATGAACCATCCTCACTAGTTGCGCGAACCCCAGCACAATCTCCATTCCTAGATGTTTTGCTGGTTTAGCCATAGTGGTTCTCTGGACTCCCGAGGTCAGCCTGGCCAAAGCCTGCCCCAGTTAGTCACCACCACAGACAGTCGCAGCACTTGTGGATCAGAGAAAGATTTGCCACCATGCGACTTTGATACCGGGACGGTGGTGGTTTCTGGTATTGGTTTACTCTTAGCTAGGCTTCCTGATGGAAACGCCGGACCACTTCTCAGCATCAGAGGCCCTGCCGGGAGGATGAATCCCTGCTGTACATGGCCGCCGGACACCCAGGAACACCTCCCAACCAAGAGTAGAGGGTTAATCGTTTGGACGGAATGGGCTATTATTACTAAATATTTTACAATAGTGATCTAATGCTGTCTAGTGGATTCTTTGGCTTACTTGCAAACAAGTTTTCTTTGTGATGGTCACTTTGAGTAATAGCCAGTAAATTGATCAATAGGTTTCACTAATGTTTCACGTTGCCATATTTCATTAAGATTTGAGAGCTTAGTTGAAGCCGTTTTTGGTATTCCCAGTTGTTCGCTTGGTGCTTATGTATTTCTCCCTTGTCTTGAATAAAACCCATGAGAGATGGGTGTGGATGCTGTTCGTTTTCGCTTCTTTTACTCGTAGTAGTCACGAAATCAACAGCATAGAGTGTGGAAAGTAAAGAGTCTATGCTTTTATTTTCTCTGTCAAGGAGAATATCCTTTACATTATTGTACAATTCTGCTTCTTCTCTATGTAGCTGAACTGTTATGTGGACTTGAACTAACTTTCTCAAAACGCTTCTGAGAACATATACCTGATTTTCTAATGCGTAAATTGCAAATGGATATGCGAGTTTTTTCAGCAAACGAAAACTTATGTTCAAAATGTTTTATCAACTACTGCTTTAACCATAAGTGACATGCAAAATTTCAAGCAACCCTCAAAATAGGTTAATGTTATTTGGTGTTTTCCTGCACTCACCAGTTCATTTATGACACACGTGCTCATCGAAGTCACTAGCTCTTGGAAAGATACCGCTTCATCTCACTGGTAACGTACCTCCTGTAATAAAACCTACGTCTCTTTTAGTACGAACGTTTTATTGGCTTAGTCGTCTTTATGCATCTCATCATCGCTTCAGTAGTGACTTCCTCGAGATAAAGCGTTTGTGAAAACTTTTCTTTTGCTGCACGTTACGGAAGATTGCACCCAATTCGTGCTGTATATAGAAAGCTCAGAATTTACCTGACGTTATCATGTCGAAATCTTCCCACGATTTATACCGCATATCGATGTCACCAAATCTAAAAAGTGTTGGAGTATCCTACATGCCTCTTACTAGGTTTATCGGTAAGTAGGTGTGTTCACTATGGCTTGCGTTCTCTGTGTTGTATTTTATTCCTTCATTCACCTTTTTTTATGGTAGGTATTGTTTGAAATACGCAATCACTGCGCAGTGGTCGTAGGCGCCTTGCAACACCCTTGGGATTGATCACCGCTCCACAGGCTCACCAAGCCACCGCCCACCCGAGGTCTTCAGTTTCGTACCAAACTTGTTTAGGTGGATAGCGACACTGACTCGATATATGGGTAGACCACCGTGACGCATTGTAGAGGCCAGATATGCATTCCATCATGTCTAACGATGACTAATGAAGTCGAATGCATGGCCATCCCTCAGCGTTTTATCAAAGTCGAGAGCATTATCCTTCATTCTTTACTGGTCAACCACAAGGATGCCGAGGTATGAGAAAAACACGGAACCTCAAGTTAATATCTAGTCATAAAATAAGAATAAGCAGTAAATAAAAAAAGTTAAGCATTGTGATTTCGACTGCAGTTTTACATTGAGTTGAATGCCGACTCGTGCTTCGCTGATCATTCCCGTTGACTGATGCTGCTGAAAGAACCGAATGAGTAAAAACACAGCTAAGAGAAAGGCAAAGCAAAGACGTGGGTTGGTGTGGTGGACAACACATGAGCCCGCGGAAAGGGTAATAGCAGGTTGAAGTCCAGCTGAAGTTCCGAGGTCTACTCGTATCTCAACACCGTTGTTGTTCTCCTGCTTTCTCCCGATCATCTCTGGAAATACCTAGGATTGTTTGTTTACGCAACTGACTTTCGTGTTCCCAATTTCAACATCATTCAGCCTAATACTAAAAATGCGCTCCAAAATAGAACGCGTAGAATTTTTGGCTTTGAACATACCATGTAGCACATGCGAGAATGCGAGATCCTATGGAATTTGTTCGAGAGAGAGGAAGAGAGAGACAGGTGTTTCCTGCAATCCTCTCAGTGGACTTCTAAAACACATATATCCAAAATATTCATCAGGCCACAAGTATTTCGTCATGGCGAACGGATCGTTGTTTTGGAATGTAGATCTGGTTCCGAGTGACCTCAGGATCTCTCATCTTGTTTCGCAAATTCAGTTTTCTTCACAACGCGGCGCATAGCTGTTGCCTTCTTTATAACTAATGGGACAGGCAACGTTGTTGATTTTTTTTTACATTATAGTAATTGTTACATCAAACAGTTTCAAGCAACTAATTGTTGTTGCACAACTTATACGCAAATGAGCTCAACTTCTAAGAAACTGTGGCTTTTCCGTTCACCACTTCATCTGATCGCTTCAAGTATTGTTGTTTACAGCTTCGCTACCAGCAATGAGTAGGCGTTAAATTAATGTTGAGTTGTAAGTGGAATTTTCTAGAACAATTCCTAGTTTTTCACTATTAACGTGCTATACTAAACACGATATTTAGCCTTGAATTGCTGTTTAGTTGTTGCCTTGAAGTTTTCCCTTCTACAGTTTTCGCTAATGTTGCATAATTTGCAGCAATCGTGCGTTGCTGTGCTTTTTCTGATTCTCTCTTTGAAACCCATTCAATCCTGTCGTCTCCAGGGTTTTCGTTGAGCGCCGCCCAGAGTGGTCTCATTCGTATTGATTTGCACCATTTTATTCGCATTATTCTCATGACTATTACTTTTATATATCTGTACTGCCTGAAATCTGCACTAGGTGAGTGACTTTTTACATTCATTTATTCACTTAGCGGTATTTCTCATGTAACCATTTAAACTACTTCTGCTTGGACCTAACCACTAAGTTCAACCGTTGAAAGCAAACTGATGCTGTCCGATGCATTTAACACCACTTGCAAGTACCTTATCGTCCTGTGGATGCTTTTGTCACCTCTTCTGTCATGTTCCGCAAAACGAAATGCGTTGGGGCGATCCGATCCGTCAGGTCTGCTAGACGACACTGATTCAAGCAGTTCCTTGGACGCAGTTCAAGCAGTTCGGGTTGCATTCTATGAAATATTCAAGTAAGCCAGGTCTAGGGATAATACTTTCTCAAAAATGGAAAACCTGCTTGTTCATTCTTGTTAAAAATTGTAATAACTCATTGAGACTTTTCATTTTTTTTTAAACTCTTAGTGATCTCTACCAGATTTTTACTTACATTTAGCGCCATTATTTCTTTTGCAATTCACCATGGCGGTTCCGTCCAATGGTCACTTTTTCCTGGATTGATTCCTATTCAGCAAAGCACTCATAATTATAATAAATATGCTGAGTGGACTAATATTTGTGATATTCATTTCGATTTTATACAGTTTGGAATAAATGAGAAAGAGATACATGAATAGGAAGAAAGGTAAGAAAAACTGCTGCATGATGCAAAATATTATTTCAGCATATGTCCTTTTACTGACCGAAAAATATGAACAACTTGCATTTTTCAACCTTTCTTTTGTGAGAACTATAATCCTAAGAAATTCTAAAGTTGAAAGGATACTTTATAGAGTATATGTATAACCCTTAATGGGTTAGAACAACTTTTCCACAATTCTGTTAGTGGAGAAATTATCGTCCGATGTCGAAAAACCAGCTTCGTCGCGAATATGCTAAATAGATCAGACTTGTTCAACGACACTGGCAAAGGCCAGTTTTTTGTTTATCGAAGACCACTGATACCATAAATGCCTTTCTAGTTCCATGGTTAATCGGACCTTGTAGTTCTATGATTAGTGGGATCAACTATTTCGATGATGAGTAGAACCTATCTGCAAAACGATTTCATGTACACGAAGTACACTGATTTTGCCACACATAGGTTGTTGAAATGAACCAAATCTGTATTCTAATTCACTGGTAATAAAGTTCAGCAATTCATTTTAAGCATGTTTTTTTTAAGCATTCTCAAAATACTGTCTTTATACTAGTGTCTGCCTTCTTGTTAGTTTGGCTGTGCTCTTCTAACTCATTTATTCTATATGATAAGTGGTGAGATAAATATGGCAAAATTTTTATTCAGGGAATAGAAAATGGATTTTTGACCTGTCAAATAGATGCTGGATAGAATCTCTCCTTCGCTCTATGCCCGGTTGTGTTGTGTTTTGCTTACATTGTTATGACGCTTGTAATTGTCCGGTCACAAAGGAAATACCAGTTACATTGTTTTAACCCTTATTTACTACCTATTTTCTGTAAATGACAGGATATTATGTGAAGCATAACCACAGGTGTTCTGAGAAATAAGCAAAACTGACATCCTCTGTTAGGTTTTAATCTCGCGATTTCCCTTACCGGGAACTCACTTGCTTTCAGCACACCAACGGAATCCTTGTTTTGCGTTTCTATCAACTTTTTGCTCTATCGATGTTATTAGCGATGGCCCGTCAACGGGAATGAAATCGAAACCGATTATTTTTTTTATAAACCGGATTCAAATGACAATACTCGTGTGAGAAAATTAGATTTATCAAGATATACAGTTCAACGTCATAATCAATCCTAGTGCTCGCGCATTTTGTTTTCGGTTGTCTCGACTACTTTCAATAACTGGTATTAGTTCTGCCCGCTTAGCCCTGTTATTCTTTCTCCGTAGAGTCAATTTATCGATGGTTCTTTGACACATCTATAGCCTTTTCTGCTCACCAGTGCTTTGCAACTATAATAATAAGCAATGCATCCATGCTTCAATGAAGAAATCAGTCAACGATGATCTCGACTAGAATCTTCTGTTTTTTAAAACATCCCTCCATTGTTATCCGCGTGCGCTACATTCAACATAACAGTGGGATTCTAGGTTTTTGGAGACAACAAATTTTTTCGATGCATGTTCATCGACGTAATACTTTTTCGTGCAAGCATGGTTAGGGTGCTTTGAAAGGGAGTATTCGATTAACAAGAAGTCTGTGAGTATACCGAAAGATGCAGAGTTGGATAATCCTTCTCCCATGTCTTGCAACTTTTGCACTGCTACCTTTGTGGTGGGTGCCCAAGCTTTACTCTGCAATGGGTATTGGATAGATTAACTGACCGTTTACTTGCGTCGCATTTTGCCAAATAATTGCCACAGCGTACTTCTTAATGTTAAGCAGAAAATCAATATTAGGTAACACAGAAGCGATGTCAATTTCCAGAAAACCTAATAAATCTCAATTAGTGGGATGTCTCATATTTCTTTGGTGACCGTCGTTCTAAGAAGACATTTCACTTCGATATCTTTCACGAGTGTGCATTCTGACATCGCCTACTGAAGAACTAAGAACAATGGTGAAGCGAAAGCTCGGTGTGGATCGAGTACCACAGGCTTTCCTTCAATTTTTTCCTTATCTGCTTTTTGCAATATTTAGTAATGATTTAAGTTGTTTTTCGTGAGCTTTGTATCAGATTTAAAACCATGTAAATGTAGTCGATCGCCGATGGTCAGCTGAAGAAATCCTTAAAAGATAATTTATTTAGCCGTTGAGCATGAGTTCATAAAATTTTCCTTGTTCGCTCAAATTATAACCAACTTGCTTTAGAGAAGGATTGAACTGTAATTTAGGTGCTAGCTGATTAATAGTCTCCTCAATGTTCTAGTGAAGTCCTATCAATCTTTTTTCTTTTATAAACAACGAGAGACGTTATAATCCACAGTCGTAAGTGCCTCAATTCATCGAATTGCTATTACGCAACTAGGTGATAGCTATCTCAGATCAGGGCTTCAATCCTAAGATAAAGCATAGCTTGCATTCAATCGGCTAATGCTTCCAGTTATTGTTTGCCCTGCCAAATATGAGTGTGCTATTTCATCTCTTACTATGATTTCTCATGCGATGCTGCCAACTGTGAGCGATAATCTCTACCTATGCACTTTAACAACCTTTCTCGCTTTTTTATTGCCAATGTCTGCTTAGGGTAGTATGGATAAATAGGAGGTGCATGTAGAGCAGTGTTTTAGGACTGCACTACAACAACGCATGGTCTTAGCTTCTATTTTGCTCTCCGGCTAACGAAGATCCCCATCCCCGTGGAGTGGCAAATCTGTACCAGACATGTTTGGGAGGATAAAAAACGCTCACTTGCTTCATCATTAGGCTTCTGCATGCCATTAAGTTAGTCATAATCATTCTACCGCTTCCATGATGCTCGATGGAGCCGAATATATGACAAATCCTTCAGGAATTGACCAGCGGCGAATGCTTTATACTTCATCCATATGATGTGTTTTCCAACTACGTCTTCGGTACCACTTGGTAAATGATCACTCGCTGGAACAATGCAGAATGTCCAGCTAAGAACACAGCACTAGTACATACCCCTGCCATTGAAGTCATACCCCCTATAAAGCAGTTTGGCATGCTACCTTTAGATAGCGCAACCTTTCATTGAGATGGCAGGACGATTACTTATACACGTACTAAGTCATATAATGCCATTGGATCATTTCCGCGCATTCCGTTGATGTTACGGATCTAAACGCCTTCTTTTTTGATGACTAGAACACAATGTGTTTGATTTTTTTTTCGCTTTCGTGGTATTCATCGTATTAATTACTGAGTTTTGTAAAATGTGCGTAGATAGCTAGTTATTTGAATTTAGGTTTTGGACCGCCAGGAGTCCAACCACCCGCAACGTTTGAGGCTGAACAATGGTACCCGAGCAATCTTCCCACAGTGGCACCTCCTTGGAAGAAAGTTGGATTTGACTTCAATACCTTTGGAGTAACTTTAACGAGCCCTTTGACAAACTCATCTTTGTTATTCTTGCCAAAAGAGGAAATATCAAAGCAAGTAAGCTTTTGATACTGTTAACCTTTTACTTTCTACCTACTATAATTTCCCACGGCAGAGTATGATGTGAAATACAATCACAACGATGCTGAGATACTCGCAAAACTTGGACCCACTACCAGATCAAACCACGATTACCTTTCTGGAGGCAATCATGGTTCGATCTGGTCCCGGATCCAAGTTTTGTGAATGTCCCAGCTTTTGATACTGTTGGTATTGACATACACATTTAGAGCCAACGTCCAGCCAATCTCAATATAACTTTCTGATAGGCTTGCCATCAATTATAACGATTTGGAAACAATAAATAAAAGAACCAAAAGCGTCTTTAAGGAAGAGTCGTTTGTGCAATTCAATTCCACTTCTTCGTCCGTTGGTGACCAAAATGACGGCGCTCTATATCCAAGTAAGAGTACTGCTGGGAGATTTCTTTTGCATTGTTAAGGTAAATACGTGATGCACTGTCCATCTAGTCGTATTTCCTATATCTTCAGATTGTTCGGATATATTTTTCGTACTCGATTCCAGTGGAAATGTAGTGGAGCAGTACGAAAAACAGAAGACATTTATTAATAACATGCTTGTAATGTTGGAAGATAAGGATCGCCATGTAAGTTTAGGCAATTCCCTAAATTTCTCTGCCATTCGGATACTTTGTCTCTTTTTCGTTGTTGTGCTTTCCAATACTATTATAACAAAGATAAGACTACTGCATCAAAGTGCGCGTGCGACGCAGTGGTCGGAGGCGCCCTGCAACACACACGTGGAATCGATCCACGCGCCCATGGCCCAGCAATCCTTCCATCCCTTAGGGGTCGGCAAATTGGTACCGGATTTGTCTGAGAGGTTAGCAACACTGGTTCGATACATAGTAGGCCACCGCGGGCCATTGTAAAGGCCAGATACGCATTCGATCACCTCCAAACTATGCTTGATGAAATATAACTATTTCAAAATTATTATTTATTTATTATATTTCGTTTATACACTGCCATTAAAAAGAGTAGGCAGTAAACAATAGGTTTAAATTGATGCTCAATGAAGTCGAATGCATGGCGCATCCCTCAGGGATTGATCAACGCCGAGAGCTTATCCTTTTATCAAAGTGCGATTAATCAGCCTTCCTTTGTAGCTCGCTTGAGAGCTCAATTACTAGATTTCAAAGAGTTCGCTGTCTTCTTCATAATGTTAATAGCAGTGCAGCATAAGTAGATACTTAGATGATCAGTCTTCACATGACTTGCATAGTTCATCGGTTCTTCTATTCCTTTCATTTCTTGCACTTCATCCGTAAATGTAGGCGATTCAAGTATGCATTCGGTTGCACACTGAGCTTCTGTGAACTGTTCTCCTTGGGAACATGATTAATTATAGCCGAGCGTTTTTTTTTTTGGATACCCGACGATTTTTTGATATAAGTGAGCTTGGATACCTTGAAGCTCGGGCTGCCACATAAGGACAACGACTCCTGTAACAGCTGCAAGTTCTGTGGCTACTTGACCGTCCATTTTTTCACGTTCGCTTTTCACCATGGAAAAATCTTGTGGAATTATTTTGCATTTAGCTAGATCTAATTAGCAGCGACACACGTAGCATGGCGTGCTTCTATCTTTAGAGCTGCTTATTTATTATTTTTTAGAAGTCTGCCATTTTATAATTGCTTGCACGTCAAAGTTGCTGATTGTTGGTAGCAAAGATGAATTGTTGTGGATGGTTTATTCGCCATTTAACGACTGATTTTTTTTAGTGTTTCCTCTGAAATGTTGCTTAAATCGTCGGCAGCTATTCTCCTTTTATTATAGCCCAGGTTCCACTTGCTTGGTTTCTTGTTAACTTTAAAATTAATAAATCTGCTTGAATTGTTCAGCTAATACGAGGTCCTTTTACAATGTTTATTCGGCTAAGGTTTCGACGTTTTCGTCTTCCTTAGAGCCAAAGATCTGAATCAATGGTCGACAGCCGCAGGTCCAAGTCTTCTCGATGTGTTATCATCGTCGTCATATCCAATCGAATCTTCTGATTAGTGGAGCACCGTTCAAATGAGGCAACCTTACCCGGTAGCACTATTTTACACAGGACGGTTGTTGATGATACTAATTACCCACTGAAAATAATTTGTTCTTCAGCGGCCAAGCCATCCTGAAGCAGTCTGTTTTACAATAGCTAGTACACATGGCGAAATAATATTGTTACTATATCGACTTTCACTTAACCTAGGCGTGACCAATGAACAAATTTCTTTGGATTCTTCAGTTTGCAGTTTTATAATTAGATTTCACAAGTTGCTCTTCGATATTAAGTGCGTTCTTCATATTTCTTCTAGTCGTAGTTTTCTCACAGAATAGACACTTCGAGAAAGGACCCCCAGGTTTAGAAATGTTCTCCAACTTCAGAAACAACGTACAAGTTGACGAGTTTGTCAAGTAGTAATGGTTGATTTTTAGTTCAGAGAATGAAACTCAAACCTTTACGATCACTCCATAGAATTTTGGTCTTGTAAATTTGTCTTTTCACACCTCATTAGCAGTAAGTATGATTAAATTTGCTTTAGTTTCTACTAATATGTAGTAGTATAATCATTTTTCATCGATTTAAAAAGTGTGGCATAACATGGGGATGGGGGACATTATAGTGCAAGTCGGCCACAAGTGTTAGGCTTGCAATCTTTTCATCTCCCTAGTTAAACTGTGTTATCTGTTCGAGTTACTCATTAGTTCATTTCACAAACAGGTGCGTAAACTGCACGTGGCTGTATTCATACAACGAGTGTAGAAATAGAGTACGAATATGGTAGCTTATCCTTCTTTGCTTTTTTGGAATGGCTCTTCAAATATTCACCAGTTAATGAAAACAAAGATTACCTAGCTTTGGCTCCACTTTCTTACTTTCTTTAGCCTCAGTGTATGCTTTAGGGATAGGCTGGCGCTGTAGTAGTGCTCCCATTCACTACGTGTACTGCCCAACCTATTTAGGTACAGGTTTGACCATGCATCGCACCCGTGACACCTGTTATGTGTTCGGGGTCGGAAAATTCACACCGGACTTGTCGGGGATAAGTTCAGTCCTACTGATCCAGGTAGGAATACCCTATCACGGACACCTGTTATGTGTTCGGGGTCGGAAAATTCACACCGGACTTGTCGGGGATAAGTTCAGTCCTACTGATCCAGGTAGGAATACCCTATCACGGCTACTTCATGTATACAGACCAAACCCACTCGATTAGCATTCAACGGCACTCGTGACGAAGTCGAAAAATCCTCAACAAGCTACTGAAACTATACGCATGAAAAGTTCGAATGCATGGTTGATGGATGCAGGAAAACGAAACGAGTTCAACAGGTGCTGGAATCCGTACTATGTGAGGAATGTGATGCCATAAGTGATAAAAATGTGTGCTTCGAAAACCTCGACCTAAGCAGTGTCGATGTGATACCAGTTTTGTTCGGACGCATTATCCAGGTGATAGTACCAAAAATATCCCGTTTCATCGGTTAAACTGGGGATCCTTATTTCCAAAGGCCAGAAGCATTGACGTATACGTCATGATGCCAGAAACTACGTATGCCAACTAAAATGCATGTAAACAACAGCAACTGATCAACGGTAATTAGAAATTAGATTGCACAGATATCGTGAGCACTGCAGAAAAATTATAGACTTCGTGGTTAATTTTCTTTACGAGCACTTCGAACGAGAAATATGAAGTGCTCAGTGTTTTTTGGCAAACGGGCAAGCGTAGCGGGTTCGACACGCATTGTGAACGGTGAGGACTTTCAAAGTGCCCTTCCGAATTATCCGACAATCGCTACGAGTTTGTTATCAAAAGTAAAGGCTGCTAAATAATTTCATTTAGAGCGTTGATTAGATAGGCCTATTATATTTTTTATATTTCAGATCATTACTGTTCTGTGAACAGAGTTTGATTAGTTTTCAGTATGGACTAATGACTTATGCAAGCAAACGACGTCAACGAATCAATGTGCCTATCAAACTTCAAATTTCAAAACAGCTCTTCATGAAGAAGCTAGCGAGTGAGTTCTACAAAATATGGGATACAGTATCAATATCTTACACATTATGAGAAGAGTATCTATCGTATAGCTTTTCCAAGACATTACCTCTTGTTAACACTGCAGTTTAGTTCGCCACAGAGCTTTCTAATAGAGTGGTGTCCGGATAAGTTGAAATCATTGCATGCGTAGAGACAAACTGTACCGTATGCGTTGATTTCAGCTCATTTTTCCATCGGTCTATGTTTCCGCCCTGTTTTGTGTTATACTATGAATAGTTTATCCAGTATAGCTGTTGTGTTAAGTGTTGTCCTTAAAAGCTGTTCATCGTTTCTAATATTTCCTAAAACACAATTTTATACGAGTTGGTTTTAGGAGCACGATTTCTTTCTGGCGTTACGGCAACTGGTGCAGCCCTCAGAGCGGTTGAGTCGTTAAAATTTCCGCGTCGAACCGACGTTATTGTTGTAACTGACGGGTTTTCCTTCGATTCCGTAAGAACTGAAGCTGAAAGGCTAAGGTATGCAAATTCCAATAAAAAATGACGTTGCTTATTTCTGAAAACAGAGCTAGTTTTGGTTTTTGCTCATATTGCGGTCATTAGGTGATCAAGAAGTGAAGGAAATCTTCCAGAGCACGCAGCGACATCAGAGTATTTGTCACTGGCAATTATTCACCAGTAGTGATGTAAGTTGATGAAAATGGTTTGGATAATGAAGCCTTTTCTAGGAATATTAGTAATTTCAGGGAAGTGCTAGGTGATATTGCCGGTGACGATGAGCATATTCTATTGGGGAATCCATCCACTCAACGCTTGCTAGATCTGTTGAAGTGCTAGACTTAACCTTATCAACAAAACGACCGTAAACCGCTTATGCCACACTGATGTTCATTTATAAATATGAATAAGATTTTTGATTTCTTGTTGTACTTGGTCATCTGCTGCACATGGACTATGAAAATCGAATGATTTATACATACATATTACACATATGTATATATGTATATATATATATATATATATATATATATATATACATAGTGAGAGATGGATATATGGACAAGATTTTGAAGTTCGACCGAGAATTTTGCACATTGCGAAGCTCGAATTAGTATAAGAAGACATAACATTTTCGCTAACATTGAATTTCACTAGTAGACAAGATAAATCTTTTTAAAATTTATTTTCGTAGAAATATTGGCTGAGATTTGTGTTTAACCTTCAAAACTTTTGTATCCCGAAGTCCTTCTATAATCACTGATATTTGTACCTGAATCGCTGAGCTTTCTAGCAGAAGTAGCCCATATTTCGTTCTTGATTACTTACAAAAAAGCATTAGTGAAAGGAAAGTGCGATGGTTTTATGTAGAGAGCTACGCCCTTGCGCTCTTTTTTACAAGAAGGTCGCCTTTAGTTCGTTTAGTAATGAGTCGCACTATTTTCATGTGTCTTCAAAAACTAGGAGTATGACGGGTTTTGAGCACATGCACTAAGATGTTATACGGTTCCAGAAGGAGCGGTGGTTTCTGTATTCAGTGGGTTTTTCTCATTTCTATCTCATCTTTCACGGTTTCAATTAGATAGCTACTCTTTATCCTAAGTTTTCCTATATTTACTCCTATGTCCAGATACTAAAAGAATTTTGTCATGAAAATGTGCGTGATCGGCATGGTTACTTAATGAGCCTGCACATTTTCAACATAGTTTTAATCCTTCACAGCCATTTACAGATTCCATTGTAGAGGTAAAACTTCGCCGTAAAATCACGAAATATAATGTCGTTCTTCATATTATTATCAAAAAGGAAAACACTCAAAGAGACCAAAGATGTAATAAAGGGACCTCAGAGGAATATCCTTTGTTCGTTGAATAAATGGCATATTCTTCCCTAATTCCATAAATTTCCCAGGTGCAGAAGAATTTGTGAAATATAGAGCTGCTTCAGTATTCCTTGTTTCGGTTGAATCGTTGGCTTTCTTTCCTTACAATTGACTTAGACGGTATTTTTTTTTCATACTCTGGCCAATTAAATTTGGATTTTGGGAATGTTCGGTGGAACAGTTGGAATTGTTTGGTCTGACTACAACTGCCAACTTTAATATAGCATAAAATCTACACATTCCTCCTAATAGTAGCGATGTGAGCAGTCGAATTTCGAAATACCTGAAGCAGTGATTCATACGTGGCATGGTCTCTCAAGCTGAACAGTTGGGCATTTCCATCTAGAATCACTGCCGATCTGGTAGCAACCCAGTTTCGAAGTAACAAGTTCTACTAAGACCCACAACACCGGGTAACTGTTTCTGCTAGAAACCTAGGAAAACCGTAGAATAAATATTCCAACGACATTAAGAAGACAAAATAATTTTGGCCAAACCAACAAATTGTCAATGAAGTGGAAATTGTATTGAGGCCTGCAAAATGTTTCTCTAAGCACAAACGTAGTTAAAGAAGAAGTTAATTAATGTGTACAACCATGTTTCACGATTGCATGTGCAAGCCAAGAGACAAGGCCTTGTGTTAGATTTTTTCATTTTTGAATTCAGTATGCAACAGCCAACTGGCAGGGCTCCGTTTTCTCTGTAGTTTCATCGCTCTTCTATTTAATTTCACCAATTTTCGGGCAACACAGGTGATATTACAGTGGTAATGATGTCCGTCATCACGGGCATGGTGCTAGTTCGATTCCGCTCCGAAGCAATCAAGCCTCTTATCACTCCGCGGTCAAGAAATTGGTACCGGACTTCTCTGGGAAAAAATCACTCCCTGCAATCCAAATGGTAAGGCTCCGTCCTAGCTATCTCAGGACTCCAGGGAGAATTGCTCGAACATCTTTCTACGACATTCAAGATGAAATGAAAATCCTCAAGTAGCTACCGAAACCATACATAAAAACTTGGAAAACCTTCGTGGACGATGGATGCGAGGAGAAGAACTGGATGTGAGAAGTGTTGTGAACCGAACAGTAGCCGCGATGACGGATCAAAGAAAAAAATTCCGGACACAAGGTAAGCTTCTCCTTTTTGAAATACATCGCGCCTTGATTAAGCTAGAGTAGTGGTAAAAAAAAGGATAAAGGTTTCGTCTTTATCAGCCTCTAATGCGCCATTCATTCGACTTTATCAAGCATCATATAGTTTACTGAAAGCAGATCTGACCTATGTGGCCTACCGATGTGTCAAGTCAGTGTTTTTGTCCGCCAAGAAAAATTATTAACTCGCCGATCCCGGATAGACGAAAAGTTGGGAAAACAGATCGAACCAGCGAAAAATCCATTGTGTTCCTCACAGCCTCGCTGAGCACTGTCTCATTCCACACCTGTAGGTATGGTACAGTGTCCAAAAATCATAGCGTCTGAGAACTGTGAACACATAGCTAAGTTAGCGTTAGACATAGTTTGGATTCTCAATTGTTTTTATGTACTGTAAAAAGTTTTCGATGTCTTATCACTTTACATTCGTAGAAGAACATTCTAAGTTGTCGAACTGCTGTCCAGATGTAAATTACCGAGCCCCTATCCAAAGAAAGTAAATTTCTCCAGCTTTCGAGAGCTTCGAAGCTTCCATCTAGAATGCCTGAAAAGAATGAATGAGAGCAAGAATTCACCTTGTTCATGGTTAATGAAATGTAATTTTAAAATGACAAACCCTTCTCTGATCTATACAGCTACATTCGCACTCGAGGAAACAATATAGCTCAACCAAAAATGAACCGCCTATGTAGTCCTCACACCGAACTCCCCGTTTGTGACATTGAGCGGTGAGACTAACCGGTGAAAGATAGTCAGATCTCTGATTCTAAAGAACCCTAGGAGCCAGACTAGTAAAGGGATATAGTTGCTGGCTTCACACCTATGATATTAGAACAAGATTGACAGTACCAGTACCTTTGCTCCTGCAAAGGCTACAGGCAGGCTTATATTCCATTTGACGACCCTATTAGAACAAAAACACATGAATATTGAAGCACTTTTTTATTTATTCAATATTGGGTTAAAGCCACTAAAATAGAGACCTTTGCAATCTGTCGAGAAAAATCCCTATCAGTCGTCTAGACTATATTCTCCACAAATACGAGGCACATCACTTCGATACTTACTTACTTACTTGATGTTTGAACGGCCTGTCCTCAAATGTTTGTGCGGGCCCCAGCATAATCTCCATTTTCCGGAAATTTGCCGGCTAAGTCACTGTGGTTTCCTGGAATCCCGAGGCTAGCCTGGCCAAAGTCTGCCCTAGGTCTTCACCACCACGGGTTGTCGCAGCCCTTGTGGATCAATAAGAGATTTGCCACCATGCGACTTTGATACTAGGACGATATTGGTTCCCGGTATTGGTTTACTTTTAGCTAGGCTTCCTGATAGAAACGCCGGACTCCTTCACAGCTTGAGAGACCTTGCCAGGGAAATGAATCTTCCCGCTAAACATCGTAGCCCGACACCAAGGAACACCTCCTAGCCACAATGAGGCGGTAAACTGTTGGAAGGCACTTCGATACACGAGTAAAAAAGTCACCCTGACCTGCGATCACTTTCATCAATCATTTCACTCCAATATCTGCAGCTAGTAAGGGCGAATTACACAAGTTCCGCAATCAACTTTAAAAAAGATCCTTCTATAAATTACGACCCGCGAGCCTCGACGCTATCATGGAAACGCCAGCTAAGTGATCAGAAAATTTGGAATAGGAGACCACAACAAGAACGGAAACTATCTTATGGTTGAGACTTCTGTTTCCAACATGCTTTTTCTGTAGAATTTTACACTTTGGAAAGCAAGAAAATTGAAGCCATTAAGGGAAACGACTAGTGAGTGGTACGACCTACTGGAAAATCGTGCATGCTGCAACAAACTGAAGATTAAAATCATGTAGACATATATGTACTGGTGTCATCTACATGGAATGGATTCGATGACTACCGTAACTCAGTTTGTTCAATCGCACAAGTCAACTACTTTGGACCAATTAAATACTTCAGCGAGCGAAATTGCGATAATAACTGTATGTATCACATTCAAGTTATGGTTAAGATAGAGAAGACTACCAAGAGTGAAATCAACCGAATGTGATAACATTCAACTAGAAAGAAGCACTTGTATCTTAGATGGAAAACCTAATGACGTTTTATCACTTATTTATATGTCCTTATGAACTACTCTTGTTGAACTGACGCGAGGTTGGTGTGAGTCTTTGTTATCGTTGCTGTTGTTGTTGTTGTTGTTGTTGTTGCTGGTCGATGGTTAATTTCGGCGATTTCGCCTTCTTCTGCTGTTACGAGTGGTCCTACTTATACCAACCTCGCATCAGCTCAATAAGATTAGTTCATAAGAACATATAAGTAAATATGTGAACTATTTATGCCGAGGTGTCGGTCTTTTAAATCATTTTATCAGTGCACATTGGCCAAAGAGTAAACTTATCCCACATAAAAGCGATTATGCAATTATGCTACGGAGACACAGGTACTGAATTGTCTGCCATCATTGTAGTAGGTGGAGTCAAACAAGGTGTTACTATCTTGTGAAAGCTGTTCGCTACTTCATTGCAGTTGATAAGGAAGTCTGTCTATTATAACGAAAAGGACATCATGCACTGATAGTAAACTCTTGCATAGAATCGTTTAGCATATCGAAATCATCAGTTTTTTGAGACAACAAAGAAGCAAAAACTGTGCCAAAGAAGTGGTCTGTGCGGATTAAAAGGTGTGACTGCACAAAAAATCAGAAGAGAGCTTATACCATTAAAACTATGTGCTGCTATGAAAAACAAGTCCAAAAAGTTAGCTTTTGCGATTACGGAGACCACGTGGTACGTGTGAACCAGTTGAGGTGTTCAATGAACATGAAAAGCGACATGTGATGATTTGCTCAGAAGGAGAGTGTGGCATGAGCTGCAATCGGACTCGTCAGTGAACGCACCAATCAGCTAGCTCGCAAGCATTTTTGAGCTCACCTTTTCAAATTAACTGTCCTCTCAGCGTTCTGCTATACAACAGGGACTTGGATTCGGAATTAAATTTTGTCGAGAAATTTACGCACCACTCATAGGGCGTTGAAACGATGTCTTTTGAAATGAAAGACACGGAGACGCGTGACATCATAGTGGACTTCACAGTTTAGACCTCTAAAAATATCTCGATTCTGAAGTTTGGGAAAGAAAGCGGAACAGAAATACAAGAACAACAGAAGAGCGTGCCTTACCATGATGCAACTGTTGCTTAGGACGACAACCTATGAGGTAGAACGACTTATTTACGGCTTACATCAACCGAAAATACTTCTTTACAACTACATTCGTCGTCGGCGAAGGATTCGAATTACCAAGACCAGTCGAAAATTTGGTCTAACATTTCAGAAAATTGTCTTTTGTTAAACTTTTGCGATAACAATCAGTACTTCTTGGCACTTCCAAAATTAGTTTCAGAACAATTTATCACTGAACGATCATCTAACAAGGTTCTGTGTAATGAGGAATCAGAATTAAGTTACTTCATTCGAGAAATACTTCACTTTACTGGGTTTGACACCATGCGGAGAAAAAACCCACATTGCAAGAGTAAGCAGCAGTGAACAATTGTCACGAATCAGCGCGGCTCTGAACAAAGGGGTAGACGCCAAAACGTTGACGACAATAAACAATTGGTAGCAATTTCGTGTAAGTGAATTTATTGTAAGTTTATTCACTGTTTGTTGAAGCAGCTAAACAGTGTTGATTTGTTAAATCAGCATTGCTCCAGCAGAACATTCCACTCATGGCAGAAGCAGCTTTCTTCGTCTCCCTTCCAATGTAAATGAATTTTACGGTTTTTTGACTCTGAAGTTGTCGGAAAGTTCGAAGATTTTCATTGGTGTGCAGACTGTGTACCATCGTCGAAACAACGATGTGGTTCAGCTGCGTGTCCTAACTACGAAAAAAAGACCCTTTTACAAATCGCTGCCAGTGTTAGGATCCAGTTATGAGTTGATTGGATAGCTGAGAGTGTCCATTCATTGATCAGCATTGACTTCAAAAGTTCATTTACTCGTGGAACTGCTATGGAGAAAAGATGCTCATAACAAGTAATTAATAAAGATTATTGAAATGGGACAATAAGCTGCCTCTCCGCCTTCCTTTTCCGTTGAATTCTATATTTCAGCTTAAGTCTCAAATTCTCACAGCTATAGATCGTTCACGATAGACGATGTTCAGGAATACAGGAATGGTTGAATGAACTGTGGTTTATCAATATGCCATGATGTGAAGTATAACTTACTTGGCCGCTGAAGTAGCGGTTATACCTGAATTGATCTGACTATTGCAACTCCTCTCTATTTTAGCTTTAAGCCCCGATGATTATTCAGATCGTTCTTATATCAGTAATACAAGACTCCCTAAAAACCTTAAGCTAATTGAAAACGAGATGTACAAATTGAAGCACCTTAGACGAACAACTGTGGACCACCGACTCGGACTATCGGCACGGATCATCGACTCTGAGAAAGATGAAGGCGAAACGTTAGCCGAATAAAAGTTGTTTATCAACCTCGTCATCAAGTTAAAAAATGTACAAATTTTGTTCATCGGTTTAAACTGGTTGTGTTGGAAATTCAGAACGAGATAGCAATAATTTACTTATCAATAGTATTGACATTACAATATTCCTCTCTCCTATAACACGTTTCCCACAATATATGTTGTTAATTGATTGACTGTTTCCCCGCTGGGTTTTAAAAACACGGTATACAATTTTTCTTATTTTAATAGTCCTTCTTCATTAGATGATATTTTAAGACCTGCTGCTAGGCTTTCCATGGATATCCGAGTATAATAACGTTAGTTAATAGTTGGTCCTTGAATAGCGCGGCTTCACAAAGAATCATAAGAATGGAATAGGGAAATTTTCAGCAGTATAATTTCAATTTCACTGCTATTGGTAACCTAGGATTTTCTCATTGAAGTGCGGAGGAAGCGGTGTCACCGCTTCCTCATCATAACAGGGAACTCACCGACTTTGTGGGTAGGGACGAGATTTATCATCTTGCGGCTGAGCTAATTCTGGGATGACCGCGATCTCACACATTGGTTCATTCCTAGCTGCGCTTCCGTATAGCCAATTTCTTCTCATTCTGGGATGCCCTTTCGGAAAATAAACGTTTTACTGTAAATCGTACTTCAAAGCCCAGAAGTTACATGTGGATGGATTTTTGAATGGTGGAAGCTAAGCAGTGAGATAATACGGAGTAATTACAGGCAGGAATGCTTAAATTCCGTCTCCGGCCTCCACCTCTAAAAGAATTGTTTTCTTGATTTTATTTGTTCTTGTTCTTCTAAGCAATCAGGGCAGCTGAGCTCTTGTTTTCAAATGTTTAATGGTGAGCGGTAGTTACACTTTTCTTGAGTTTATTGTAGTGAAAACCATGATATATTTAGACCAATAAATAAATATTGTTGGCCAAACAATGTCGTTGCTAGAACACTATATTGATAGTAAGTTATTAAACATCTTGAAAGTGCGCCTATTGTATTACTATGTGTTTTAGAATCTTTTGCGAAAACGTTCGCTACCTATTACTCATAATTGAACTTTAATGACGAGAATGATGATACCTAAGCCTCAATATTGTCCCTGTCTTGTGGGCTTGTTAATCAAAAATAAAGCTACAAAATGTTTCACACAGGGATTTTTCGGAAAATTGTCTTTTAAAAGACTTCGATGTTAAGTCACGTTGGCAAAACAGCGGAGGGAACTAACCGTAATAGGTTAACTCAATGGTTAACGCAGGCAAATTTTTGAAAATATTTATTCTATAGGGAGTAGTGAATGACTAAAACTTTTGATTTGGACAGTCTTCTTTTCTTGAGACTTCTGATTTAGTGTTCAATTCGAAAAACGTAGTTTAAGCCGTGATTTCAGACAAAAGTCGCCTGCTTTCGGTCGTACGTGGCGTGGACTTCGCTGCTGCTGTCAACGCTTGAGAAGAACTTGGACACCACGGAATCTGTGCCCTGTATGGAATTCTGTGCATGAGTTGTGCAATCGACGAGGTCGTCTTTCGAGGTTTGTGGGAGATGGTGGGCGGTGCCTAGAGCAACCCTCACTGTAAAGCCGCGGGCTTCCGAGCAAGCGCGCGCCAGTCTGTATCGATCCTACCCCTGAGGACAGAAGCACCCTCCTGACCCTACTAAATCCAGTTGCGAACATTCCCAGACTCGGCCCTGTTGCTCGGCAAGACATACAAAAATGGTGGAAATCGCCGAAATGCCGTCCATAATCGTTGACGAACCGTCGGCATGTCCGCAATGTCCAAAAACGTTCGCAAACGTACGGCTGTTGCAACAACACCAGCAAATGTTCCATTCTGATAAGGTATGTTATAACATAGGTCACTTCGAATATCTGATTGTCATATCAAACTGTGCAAGTATACTTCATTCATTCTTCAATGAAGTGATTCGTCTTAATGATTCGCCTTAAGCTTTCTTTCCAATGTATTTCTTCAGATCATCAGGTTTCTTGAGATATTGTGCAAACCTTGAAGAATTCGTTCATTTTATCGCATTTCGACTAGTGTTTCTTTATTTTTCATCGTTACCATCCTCTAACTGATGTCATTGTTTACAATGCCACCTGACCTCAAGTCGACAGTACAGCCTGTGGTAAGCCAGCTGTCACTGAACAGATGCTAACCTTTCAGAACGCCTGCATAATTCGATGGGCTCGATGTTTCAACCTAAAGCAACCATTAGCAATGACAACAGTAACTTAGTCAAGTAAATCAAAACTGTCTGCTCTTCCTCTGTTTTCATTTTAGCTTTTGCACTCAATTGCTCCAGATCTTCTAGAATTTCTTCCTGATTCAAATTCATAGGAGTTCGGTATCGACAGAGTTGTTAATAAAGAAGTTTATCGCTGAGAGCAGTTTAGTTTTTTATTGTCATTACAATAGCGGATGCAAGTTTAACGGCGTGACAGGCCAAAGAAACAACGATACGAACAGCTGCTTGCTTATCCTCCTATTATCGGCCATTGGTTTTAGCATACCGATCGCAGATTTTGCTTATTTACATGTATATTTTGGAAAGTCGCTCAAACCTCGGTAGACGACTAAGGTCTAAGTGAGAAGGCAATGGGGCGATAGCGTATTATCGGTAGCACCTCTCTACCACCGTACTTCCGATAATTGCAAGCGGACTGGCCATCTGTCAGTTCGCGTCGCCGCGCATGTAAAATTGATCCCGACGCGCGTCGGGAGGGCAAATGCAGCCGAGGACATGGTACAAAACAGAATCTCACCCTCAACCCCGAGCCCCGATGCCGATCACCTTCAGTACGGTCGGTGGCCATCGAGCTGGACACCTTCGATATAGGACACATGAACTAAGCGAGCTCATGCACCACGTTCTCACCATCTCCTCTCACCCATTGTACGTCCCCAGCAGCATGCATACGAAATATGTTTTTCCGTCACCCAACCACATTGTATTTCAGTCGTTCATCTGTGAAATATGTGGAAAAGCATTTCGTTTCCGATCCAATCTAGCTGAACATCGATCTGTTCACACAGCGTTGAAACCTTACGTTTGTAAGTATTGTGGAAAAAGCAGTCGTCTGAAAGGTAATGTTTTTGTAGTACAGAAGCTTGAGACAATCAACATCTCAAATGATTTTTCTGGTTTTCAATTTCTAGATCAATTGAATGCTAATTCTGACTACTTACCATAGTTGTCATCAAAAGGATCCTTCGCTGAAATTAAATCCACTACGGTAATGATTACCTAAAAAGAGTTGATAACATTTTTCAGGTAATCTTACAAAGCACATTTTGAAACACCATAAGAAAGAGCAGAACGAACAAATCGGGAAAGACGATATTATTATTAAAAAGGTAAACAAAATGAAATCTACCGCCTGTAAGATCGAAATATACGTATTTGATGGCACTTTAACCGTGAGCTGCGGGTTCTGTGCAATCCGCGACGGAACTCGTTTAGGGTAAAAAATCGGTTAAGGACCCTGCAGCTGTGGATTTCCTCGAAAAGTCGATGATTGTAATGGCACAGAATACTACAGCTGATGGATCAACACCATGCCTACTACCGAAGGAGGAAGCGAATGACCAAGAAAGGTAATACACCTTCCAGTTCGCCTCGTTTTATCCCTACGTATTTTGAATTTTTTCTTATCATTTATGCATTACGCATATAAATGTTTGGTAGTAAAAGATGATATATTTGATGGAAAATGGTCCACGGTAAGTGTGTACAAAGGGATAAAAATTTTACCTCTTTCAATCGTTCTTTATCAATCTTAAACAGAAATGCGATAAAATATGGTGTAACTTCATATGGGAATCACTGTTTATTTCTATTTTTAAACATGTAGATTTTACAAATTCCTTAAATTACTACGCTAGACAAGGATTTTGAATATTTCAGCAATTCCATAGTATGTTAAGGTCGATATTGATATCACTGGGACTCGACTACAGTCATTCGTTAGACCTCCGAGACAGTCCGGAGGCGAGCGCTAGCCCCGAAAACGGTGAGATAACACCTCCTTTTATCATGAGAAGATTCCGGAAAGGGATTTACTGTCTAGCTACCGATATAGTAGTGGAATACGTGACTGAGTACGGTGCGTAGTTGGACACAGTTGCTCCATTGGTTCTAAGCAGTTGTTTTGCCGAATAGTGGGTGGATTTTGTGTAGCGCGGTAATCGTTAGGGAAGTGAGGGATCTGTGTATGTGAGGGGAGGCGAGGCGAAACGAGAACGCGGCAAAGCCCTACGGGTAGCCAAATAGTCCGTGGAAGAGGAGTAGACAGGGAATTACAACTCTAGTCTACATAATGCCAGCATTTCTAAGCGCATCCTGCACTTTAGCCATGCATCTTAAAGACTCCAAGCAAAGGCATATATGAACTGCTGTGTCACATCGATGGTGATCAACTCTTTCCAACGTGCAGTAAATGCAGCACTGCTTTTTAGTTTTATACTTTTACACCTTCAAAATCTATGCCACTGTTAATTAGGTTTTCATTATAGGTACATATAATTGTGTTAAACCGGAGTATATTGAAGACCAATCCTATGGTAGTCCGTTGCCTAACACTACGGTAAGTTAGTAGTTATTGAATAAATAAAATATGAGAGTCATCACACCTGACACCGAAAACCAACGAAAAAGAAATGCGATTTCAGGTTGGTGGCGAGACATCCTTAGCTGCTTTGATCGCTTCGGTAGGCACGCCCCCTCATGCAACGAACAACAAGACACAGTGTTCCGAGTGTGGTAAACACTTTCGAAAAAGTGAGGCTTAGGAATAGACCGGGAAAGCAATAACAGTGTTCTGGACACATTTCAGTGTTTATTTCACGCTTAACTTTCGAAATGCTTGAGAAAAGTACCGCTTGTCAGATGTAGGCTACCTTTCAAATGACTAGTGCTCCTTTGAGTTCTGTGATTTCGAATCCATTCCTTAAATGGAAGGCAGCCGAGTTACGTCGTAACAGAATGACGTACATTTATTCAGAGCCTGTCCATAGTCACTCACTGTACGCATCAAGGGTTATGAGCGGCACTGACGATTGTTACACCTCGCAACCCTATGCACTAGCGAACAAGCTCATTCATGGATATTTATTTTGTTCTACAACGCATACTTTATACGTGTAACTTCCTCTGCATCTCCCTGCACAATCAGTGCAATCAGTGATGGAATTTGAATAGATTGCTGCTATTTTATGGAGGGATTCTATTATCTGATTTTAGCATACAGAATTAAAGGTTTGCTGAGTTTCGATTAATTAAGAAAAGAATGTGAACTTTCTCCGGCTGCATGGGTATAGACATTTTTGATGGAACACTGTCTTAAGAGCTCAGTTCAGCCCACGTTCAGTAATGATTCCATCAAATCCTTGTATCATGCTAAAGATATTCAACAAAAGTGCCTTCGTCGTACAGTAACAAATTACTCATCTTTACAGGATTCTTTTTCACGCTTTTCACTTTCAATACCTGTTACTAAGAGTCGTAACATTATCGTAGTGCATGAACTATCGTCCTTATTACTTTCCATTTCTTTTTTTCACTGTATATAGAACCTCGGATGTTGATGCTAGGTTTAGATTTCTTAAAAAAATATTTTATATCCGAGTAAGCCTAGATGATTACCACTTTCCTATGAATTGTTCATGGTATGATCCGCCTAGCAACCAACTACGCGGATCGTGGCTAATACTCGACACTACAACGCATTTGTTAAATATGCAAACTGTGATTGTAAACAATCAATTATTACCGTCTATACCGTCGAACACTGAGTGGTCGATGAGAACTGGTGAGAAAACGATGACGATGAATGCCATACACTGATACGGAAACGATAACATGCACTAGTCCTAAACAAGACATGTGTGCTCTCACGGTTGATTTGTTGTTCGAAGAAGTGGTAATTGTGCTGGATCAACTGTTTTGAATCGCTGTGGTTGGCTGAATGGCGTGTCGCGGACGATACGAAGTATTTGCATGAAATGTCTTTGCGTTTGGCACCTTGTCCAATCCTCAAGGGACCCCCAGGCAGCATATCGATCGTACAGCATCGAAGCGGCAACGCAACGACATGTATACGGCAGTGTCAGTTTATACGACGTGTGCGCAAGTCCGCCGAGACTCAATCCTCCCTCTCAAATACGCGTGTCGGAGACGGACGGTGCACGTCACTTGAACGACCGACGCGCACATCTTCAAGGGGAGATGACCGCCTTCACGCTAACGAGCGGTGACAAAAGACATCTGCAACCTCTACATCCGCTTCGACGGTAAAACAGCTCATGAGTGAACATCTCATGATGTCGGCTGCAGAAGGGAGAGTCGTGCAACGAGCGTCTAGCTACACGCTACGAGTACCTACGCAGTGTTTGTTGTTCGTCCAAATTCATTACTTTACGTGCCAACGCTTACAGCACATGGCGGTTTTTTCTTCAGACAAAGATTTGTTGCGAGAATCGGAAGTTTTCGAAAATTGATTTGGCGGTGACTTCGCAATTCGCGGCCTAGTGGCTCGAAGAGAAATCTGCAAACCAACTATTGAATGGCGCGCAATTACTGAGAATGGTGCTCGAGAGTTATTGTGCTAGAGAAGCAAGGGTGTGCTCGCGGGGCTTTGCAACCTATCTAGAGTAGTGAAAACGTCAAGCTGAAAATGTTATTCGATGTTACCATTATCAAGGTCGTTTTTTCAAAAGCTCATTTCGAAATTGGGCAAAAAAAGTACGCAATGTTACCTTTCCAAAACACTGGGTTTTAATACGTTCTTCCACGATAGCTTAATTGGGTGTAGCAAATCAATGAGAGGCAGCTCGTAGCTTAGGACCGTACTCCGGAAGCGCTGCCATTAGCGGCACTTTCATACAGCCTCTGCTCGGATAAGCAAAATGTGGAGGGACAGATACAACGTTATTATCCATACACACAGTTCTCATCGCGCATGTATGTGTGGCATGGAGTGTACAGCGTTAGCTTGGACTTAAAGATTCGTCCAAAAATCGCTTTCGGACTATTACACGAATTTAGTTGTCGACTGGTTTTTTTTAGGGTGCCGCAGTTTGCAGATGTATATTGGGGAAGTGGAATTCTACTCTCTTAATCTTTCTAGTGTAATCATAGATTAATAATTTGTATATAGATCTTGGTGCTCCCTCCAGGTATAGTTTACTACGCTAAGCGCCATGATATATCGTGTAAAAGGTGTTGATGTAAGTTGCTTAGTTTAAGGTGTTGCTTAGTCTTGTGTGGGAAACCCTTGCTTTCAAAGCCATACCTTTGGTAAATAAGTTCTTTTCAATTTCATTCGTATTGAATCTCTAGTTGTTTCGTACTGTTCGAGAAGGTGCCAGTACTGATGAATAGCAGTGCGTTCGAATAGAATAATATTTTTGCCGTTCAGGTTCGTCTCTGCACGTTCACATGACTCTCAATCATGGCTTCCCTCCGCCAGAATCAACCGGCTCATCCGAGGAGAAGACGAGTGAATGCGAAGCTACAGCCGACGATGGCTGTCTACGAACCGAGTTACGAGCGCTGCGTAGCTGCGTCTGTGACCTGAAATCGCAGATCTCGGACATGCGTCATACTCAGACAACTCCCAAGACTGAACAGGTGGGATTCTACATCTAACTGGAACACATACCTAGCACATGATAAAAGTAGACGCTGATCGCATAGCTACTGCTATCTCATTCTATTACTTGGTCAGCTAGCATTGGTCTATGAGGCTGTGTACTTGAACCATATGAATGATTAATAAAGAGCACGGGTTTTTAGTACCTCTTCCTCCATATGCAGATTTCCCTATCCGTTTATTCCATTTCGCATTTACTTTTCCCTGGAACACTTGGAGAAATCCACAAGAAAAAAGTGCGATAAATTCAAATTAATCATACCGAATTGTTTACGTTGTGGGCTAAGAAATATTGCGTCCATCTTATTGGGCCAATTTGCTTCATAGTCTGTGAATGTCTCCGAACTTGGTGGCTAGGAATGCTCTGACCTAATTCTGATAACCAGAAATTCGACTCGTCTATACAAAAATGTGTTCTGATTCCATAAACTAGCACTTCGTTTATGAGGTAAAATATGAAATATTTCAGAAATTTCAATCTTTACATGTGTAAAAAAAATAGTGAGAACCTAGGGCTATATGGACATTTTTGCATGCTTTCTAAGCATGTGCACAGAAGTGACTATTGCTAATTTCTATATAGTACCGAATAGAGCATACAGCAGAAGTGCAGAAAAAAGTGGGATTTTTGAGGTGCTCGTATTCTCTCAAACGGATACTGACAGTAAGCACATGTGCTTAAGGGATTAATTGAGTTTTGTAGGTATTTGTGAATGCTATCAAGTATAATCTCCGTTCTTCAAGGTTTAATGTATTAATTCAACGAAAATAACAACAACTAAAACGAAAAAGCTAGGAATCCAAACCGTTGAGTGATTTTCCACATTCTTGCTGAGCTTTGAGTGATTATCATGTTAACAGTAAGATTTTGTGACATGTTTCTACGTCTGGACTCATTCGATTAGATTCCGATCCTACCAAATAACTTTCTTGATTTCAAATCTAACCACAGAAATCTGTTTAGGAAGAGACACGTCAATATGTTGCAATAGAATCTGAGTAAAAAGTAAATATACATTTTGGTTAAATTCGTAAACCGAGTGAGTATTCAGTGGCTACCTTCTTATCAAAATCAGTATGGAAAAAGAGGAATTATGGCAAAGGTCTGTGCTCTGCTCACGAGCGACTAAAAAAATGACTAAGGGGACCGCAAGTGATTATGTGTGACGAGCCAGTAATATTGAGCTTGTCCTAACATTATCGAAGCTCTGTGTAACAAGTAACAACCCAGCAATTACTCTTCATTTCCCTCAAGTATTAACGTTTTAAATCATGACCTTGTGTTTTTAAAGAGTTGTGTGGCAAAAAGAGCTACTTTTTCATTTCTGCCTTTTCTTTTTTTCATTTACTAGTTTCATTTATTTTTTATCGGTTTCTTATCGGTTTTTCATGTGTTTTATTACTGTACGCTTCACTTTGATTCCTTTCCGATTTTTTTGTTGCTTTTACTTGTTTGCCCTCTCTTAATTATTACTACCGTCTATCAATGATTTTCCGTTATACTGTTGTCCGAGGGGCACATAGGCATCGCGGAAGGATGTTCAGTATGAGCCTCATCCCAAAATTTGGCCCACCATTCTAAGGAAATTTCTACTTCTCTATTTGGAGACATATCTGAGAGTAAACGTATTCTTGAAATGGTCACACTTTTGGACGAAACATTTCTAAAAGATTGCGAACCTAATTATGATCAGAAAACATGAGGACTTCCTGTGGTGTGGAATTGGAAACGCCTTGCGCAGATTTCGGGGCTGCAAAGTTGTGTTCAATACCAAAGAGTTGAAAATTTTTCTGGGATCAAATGAAGACAATCCGGAAAAGTGTCCATGTATAGTATTTCTATAATATTTATATTATACAAGACTCGTCTTTCACATCTATTGCGCAGATCCCAGTACTTTTTGAACGCGATACATTTTCTCGCATCCACCATCATCCACGATCCTCCAACATATGCTTGGAGGTCCGGCTGTCTCTTGAGGATTTTTCTTTGAACACTTAATCATAGTAAATTAACGAAGAGGAAAGCTTAAAATGCTTCCAATTATTAAAAAGAGGTTATCAGTTTTTTTCTTTGGACTATTTGTTTCGGACCGTCTTTGGATATCATTCCATAATTGTTGAAAAGTGTAGCGTATTGATATCCAGAGGTCTTCCCCATCGCTCTACTCACTCGTATCAACTTGCAAAATAACTAATCATTAGCGATTCTTCGGCTATGTGGTGTTGCCGACAGATTGTAAGTGCTTCAGATGAACTCGACTTCTACAATGAATCGGAGCAGCCGTAGATTGTATTGCACGATGCTTTTCCGTTCTGTCTTTTGCATACTCTTGCACCACACTGACAGAGCTTTACATGCACGCATTGCACATAAGTACGTTCATGCATGCATGTTTAAATTTACATTTAGTATGTTGCACATTTATATTTACACCATGTTTTACTCGTTATTCTTTGCCTACTACAATTTTTATGGAAGGGTATTAAGTGAAATACAACTACAGGGTTGCTGAGATATTTACAAAACTCCGGCCGGATCTCAGGTGTCTGCGGTGGGGACCGAACGCGCTATTACCCTTTGCGGAGGCTAACGCGTTCACCACCACACCATGCGGGTCTTTCGTTTCGTCTGTCTCTCAGCTAGTTCTATCGATTCGTGCCACATCGAAGTTTTGCAAATATCTCCTCAACGTTGTGGCTGTATATCTACACTTATTTTGTATTTTACTCATACTACCCATCTGCGCGTCTACTGTCTGGATCCCAGAATTCCTGCATTCGATTCGTTATCTTTTATCAATCACTCACGAAACTTTTCGAACTTTTGCTTGTGAATTCGACTGCTGCTTGGCGATTTTGTCTTCTTCGTGAATGTCGTCGAATACCGGTTACGTAGATTCTCTCTGAAATTATGGAAGAGCTTTACTAGAGCGGTTCCATATACAAACATCAGCACAGGAATGCACTGGAGGACAAATTGTTCGAAAGAATCACTCGTTATCTAAACTGTTTTATTTACTGCCTACTCTTTTTGGTGGCAGACTATAATGCGAAATATAACTTCAATGATGCTGAGATATTTGTTTATGATTGTGATTATACCTAAAGCCTCAGCTTAAGTGGGTTCATTGCCGATTTGGGTTCCCCAGATCAATCTCGCTGGCAGGTGATTGTTGCTGATAGCAGAGATCGATAGAACTAGCTGAGAGACAGGCAACACGAAGGGCCCGCACGGTGTGGTGCTGAACGCGTTCGTTCCCCACCGCAGACACCTGCGGTCAGCAGTTTGGCAAATATCTCAGTATCATTGGAGTTATATTTCGCAACATACCCTGCCATTAAAAAGAATAGGTAGCAAATAAAACGGTTAACGTTGTCGCATTTCAATGATCCACTTCAGAGACCACATTTAGCATCCAGTAATTACTTGACGATTTTACAGATAAACCACGAATGTACTGAAGTGTGCCCGCCCATAAGTTTCATCTACACCATGAGTTATCGCCTTTATGATAATGTATGCTTTTGTTGCGTGGAAATGAAAAACCCCAACACATAGTGAAATTTCTATCCAATCGACTTTATTCCCATCGCTTATCATGTTCTACATCCATAACGCAGTTGAAACTCACATCAAGCATTCTTTTTGTGGTATTTGAGAAATGTTCGGAATGAGCTTTGTATTGCCTCTTACAAATTCTGTTCTTTTCCGGTATCCCTGCCTATAGAAGAGTCGGAAATTTCTAAGTGAACAAGTTATCATCTACACATTATGGATTCACAACACGTCTTGTGGAAATTCTGTCACTCAAATCAACATTTTTTTTAGCTAAAACCTTTACGGTTACATTACTAGCAATCCTATCCATGGATTCATTACGTTCAATGGCACCAAGCAGCACGAAACTATGAACGGACGGTTTTCTTAATGTCGTTCTTGTGTTTCAATGTTGTTCCCGTCGTAAGGAAGGTTTTTAGCGCTGAAATAACTTTGCAGGAATACCGTGCTCCTTTAGATTATTTTTCACCTCATCACTATAGAGGCCAAGCTTGTTTATCGTTTCATCATTTCACCGTTTCTGAATTCGATAACCTAAAAATAAGCCTATTTGATGAAGATTTGGTTGTGGTGTCGAAATACTCCAAGATATTTCAAGTTTCAAACTCTGTAGGGTTAGATTACAATCATAAGAATGAGCAGAAAGTATGATGACATCTATGAGCTATGACTCAAAGATTGTATCGGTTTCTTCGTCTAGAAGAGAACGAACACTCTCTTGTTTCATACTGTGTTATTTCTTTCACTAAATGTTTGATTAGTCACTCCCATGACCGACTTTCTATTAACGTTGGCATTGATTGAATAGTTCTTTATATTTCTGTTTAGCAAACACGAGGTGTTATTTTACTTCTTTATTTACGTACGTGCTAACGATTTGGCGGATTTCGCCTTCCTGAGATCCTGGAACGGTCAAGTTGACAGCAATCTACCCGGCCAAACACCTCCACAACCAAACAAAGAAAACGCTAAACCAAGATTCCAATCACAACACGGAGTAGCTTCTTTGCACACTCACCGCTTTCTATGAGTCTCCCATTGAACATGTCATGTGGAGACTAACCGCACACGAGTTCACACGGAATCGTATTGTGCCCATTTCATCAAAATAACAGGCTTATATACTGCTAAATATCACGCGTGATAATGAGGCATTCATCCCTGCGGCTCATTTTCGAATTTCTGGAATTAAGCCAGAACGCCTCGAGAGTTTTGCGCGGTTGTGTTCTTGATTCCTGCGCGAGGATCGTTACACGTACTTCAAAGTCCTCTCCGCTATGTCTCTGTGTCCTATGCACGCCTAATGGGGTATTTGGTTCAAGTTTATCGACTAGGTATTCTTTCACACGGATACAGAGTAGTTTATCCTTTCGCCAATGTATTCGTTCCCGCACGCTTTCCAAAAGATCAGGTAGACTGTACTCGAGCTCATGCTATCACCCGTCTCTACCACTGGGGCAAATTATGCAATTTTGCGTTGCACACAGACGGTCATATAGGCGGCTACGATCTAGCTGGCGTCTTAGATTACTCGATGGCATTTCATTTATTGTTACCGAATTCTCTAGACCGACCATTTGATTAGTGTCATACATATTTATCTGTTTTGTTAAAGATGCTTTCTGGCATGGACACTCGAATTGGACGTCTTGAAAAACAACTGGAAGTGGCGTTGAATTCCATATACACTCTGGTACAACTGACTACTGGCATGAATAACAACGTGACGCGCTTTCGAGAGGACGCCGTAGACCAGCTGAAGAGCATTCGTTCTCACCTGGATTCCGTGTCTGTTTAGCGTTTTCTCTTTATCTCACTACCAGTTCTAGTTTGAAATACCAATGCACAACCATGCACCTCACCTCATTGTTTAGTGCATTCTGTATATTATGTATGCATTGTAATTATGCGCAAAGTTCAGGAAGTTAAAACTAAGTTTAGATGATAATAGTGTCATTCTCTTCTAGTCAACGTTCTTTCCATCGTCATTTTACTATTTTTATTGTTTTCCCTACAGTTATAGATAACATGTATAATTGTTTTAGTGAGGTAAAAAATCTTAAATGTTTATATCATTTCTAGGAATCATTTTATTAATTGAATGCTCTTCCGTTTCTTTTCACTATAATATTGAGAGGGATGATTGTTTTGACTTGTTTTCCCTACAACTCGCTGCCTTGTGGGAAGCATTGCCAGAGTTGAGGCGTCACGTACGACAAGACAGGGAGATTGTATTTAAGTTTCTTGTTGCCAATAAGAAATCTCTGAGCCTTGCCCATGCATCTAGATTGCTGATCTCGCCATTGTTGAGTACTCACATGGTATGATATCGAACGAACCTTCTCGAAAATATCAGTACTCTTCTGTATTTTGTTTAATTTTAGTTTATTGTGTGCTGAGTGGTTGATAAATAGAATCTAAACTGCGTTTTGTTCTGTATTCGCCTAGTCTAGTGCGAGTAGTCGAGTTGCATTGATGTTGCTCCATAAACGCGCAACTATGTTTCGACGTCGCACCAGGTTAACTAGGCTCCTCATACCTCCGGAGTAGGAAAATTGGTACTGAACTCCTCTGGGACCAGCTCGCTTCTCCAAACCCGCGAAACCTTGAGACTACGTGTGATGAAGATCTGAGATTATAGCGCTGCTATCCCAGGATTCTAATGAGAATGTACTTTACCTTCATACAGCGACACTCATATAGAAGAGCAAAAATCCCCAGGCAATAGCCGAATCCACATAAAGAAGAATCCGTAAGACTATCGCGGAAAGTAGATGCCAGGAAACGAATCGAATGCAAGAAGTGTTAAGCTCGACATGTGATGTGGGATCCCGCAGAATATAGTAAACGAATAACCCTCTTCGGTCTACGTGCCTTAGGTTTACGTAGCGTCCAGATTTCGCTTTCCTATATCAGACATTGAAAGAAAGGGTAGAGTCGGTAATGAACCTTGAAGATACATTGTAAGCATATCTAGGTTTGAATTAATGAAGACGGAATATGATTAACAAACCCAACAGCACAGCAGAAGAACCTCATTCCGATGTAACCAATAAAATGAAGAGTCAGGATTTTCACGTGTTTGACCTCTAGTATTGGATCGATCGTCAACTAATGCCAGAGAAGCTCACTATGCCATTCCTTAAAAGGCCCGATTACAGTCTGAAATTCACACTATTAAAAGGGTAAAACCAGTGGCAATTGTACAGAGCAAGTTATAGCAGCGCATAAAAATTCACCGTAGAGGTTAAGTAAGAATCAAACTCAAGATGCTGATAAACTAATCAACGCCAGGTCTTGCTTGCTTATTATGGAGTTTGCAAAATCAGCTTTCTAATGTCGACAGGGCTCAACATCTATCTCATATGAGAGCCGAGCCCATCACAAATAGTTCTCGAAGAATTTATGGGTACTGACCAAAGAATAGGATTTTCTTTTCAATATAAAGTTCTGTTTAAAGGCAGCAATATCAATTGTTGGTTCTTCTAAGGGCAAAAAAAGCTATCGAAAAGCCCGGAATTGTATGAATATCCTGTGACAGTGACAACTGTTTCATCCAACAGTTAAGAGCCCGTTTTGCCCCACAGTTGGGGTTAACAACGAAAATTGATAGCTCTGTATTGAAAACCTTGTATAAAAAAAAAATGTATCTGTGTCCATGTTTTACGGGTGGCTAGCACAATTGGACTAAGGCCAAGTTAAAATTTGTGGATTTCACATATCAAATTGCACAATAACCCACGTACATCTCCGCTCACAAAGACCGCCATGGAAGTGAAATTACTGTGAGGACTAACAGCTAATGAATAAACAATAACTAATAGCTAATAAATGATTAATAAGAAGCGAAAAAGTAGATGAACGATGTGAGCCGGTACCGATGGCCATGTGTAATATTATACACAACATATGCAATAACAAGTTGTATCAAAATCAACGGCCAATTTTTAACGGAAAATTTGATGTGCTACTATTTGGCTCAAACAAAACCCTGTTAAGTGGTTAGAGTCCACACATTTTAAGGCACAAGTTACCAGTTAACCTCATCTGGTAGCAAAGAAATGGGAAGCTTTGTAAACGACAAAGTCTTTGGAGGCATTTTAATGTCTGCTGCTCAGAACACTGCTCAAAATATCATTGGCTGTCGCATAAGGAATAGATGGCTAAAGCGTTCGACGTTGATCAATGGCTTGTGCATATATGTATGTATGTTGATCATGCATTCCACTAGTTTAAGCAACGTACAGGTGGTCTAGTAACCATATGGTGGTGGTCCATATGTAGCCAATACAATGATTTACGTGAGGCAGTCGATTTATTAAGCCAGTGTTTGTCATCTTCCCAATGCAACTCTGGGACTAAACTGCGCACCCTATAACGAAGAGGTGTTCACTTACCTTGGAACGCTTATGGCGGCTATCGTGAAGGACTGTTCTTTCCATCGCATATAAAAATGCTATTGGGAAATTAGTCGGGTTTTGGGCAAAGAATGTGCAGTTTAGAATTCATAAGGATTATCTCCTTGCTTCGTTGAAATCATGTGACATTAATTTTTCGAGTTTACAGCTTTTCGGTGTCATTCAAATTAGGAGTGACTGCTCAATAACTGATTTTAAGTTCGTCAGAATTACACCAATTGGCTTTTTGAAGTTTCGCTTTTACCATCTCCTTCAAATGCCTTATGGTTTAATGCTGTTACGAGCCGTCAACAGCGTTGATCATAAAGAGTCATATCTCCAGAACAACGCTATGCGAAGCGCATTGAGAAACCCTTCGCTGATACATGCTTTGATAACATTTGAAGTTGGTACCGCTGCAAATATTCATACCTATATGCTATATGCAAATTTGATATCGATAGCAAAGCGGTACAGAACTTATGCTCCGAGAGCATCATTTCGACCAACTCAAAGTGATTGTAAATTAAGCATTAAAAACCTTAAGAATGCAACAATAAAAATATAAGCAATACGTGTTTATTAAAAAATAAAATTCTTGGCGTCGATCAATCTCCTAAGAATGCAACATACATTCGACTTCATCAAGCTTCGTTAGATGTAACTGAGCGTTTATCTGGCCTATACAACAACTTTCAGTGGCTTATCGATGAATCACTTCGGTATTGTTATCATTCTAGACAATTTTAGTGTGAATTTTCTAATCCCAAAGAGAGGAAAGGACTTTCTGAGCTCGGTGCGAACGAACGTGTGATACGGTGCCCCTAACCATTATACTACAGGTGCTCCGTACGTGTTTACTACAAAATTTATTAACAGGTTCCATGATAACAAAGCGAAGAATCGTTTCTGTTACAACCAAATTACTAAAAGCTGGTACAGCAGTACTAGTGATGCCGCTCATTACGCTCAAAGACCTGGTTCAATTCTGCAGAGGCTAAACAAAGTCTTTTATTCCAAGCTCGGAAAATTGGCCCCGGACCTCTTTGGAAAACTAACTTCAGTGTATGTGGAAACTCAGTAACACGACTCCAGGGTTCTAAGGTCAACTGATTCGAGCAGCTTTCAACGACGTTCACAAGGTATACCAAGAATCCTCAAGCAGCAGCCAATTAGAACGCAAAATCCGAGAACTTCATGATGATGAATACGAGGAAACGAATCGAGTGCAAGTATTGGGAACCGCACAACATGATATATGTCAGGTCCTGTTCCTGTCCTGTAAAGTTGAAACTGGTGCAGGGCAGTCATCGAAAGACGGCGACGAACAGTAGCGGATGGATATGAAGGCAGACATAAGCATAAATGTTCAACGACTAACAAAAAGCAATCTTCCTCTGCAATAGATTTTCCTTTTGATGTCAAACCATCCTCTCATACGCCGCCACGTTCGTAGTAGAAGTTTCACATAGCAGAATAATGAACTGTGAGGTAAAAGAGCAGCAAATTGAATATTATATTTGACGAATGGCATATTGAAAAGATTGCACCAGTCTGCTTCCACGCAATGCTTACTTTTTTTGCAGGCAAATCGAAATGGTTGGAAATTAACAGAAATGGGGAGCCATAGAGACAATCACCGTAGGATTTTATTTGTTGCAATTCTACAGCTTTTTATTAAAGTCCCTAGAGAAGGTTCTCTTCAGAACAATGGGAAGTAAAAACGTTTCAACTGGACTGATCACAAATAAGTAGAAAAGCGCGTGTTCGTTCTCCACCGCATACACCTGCGGTCCGGAGTTTTGCAAATATCTCAGCATCATTGAAGTTATATTTCGCAATATACTTTGCCATTGAGAAAGAGTGGGCAGTAAATAATACGTTAAATAAGTAGAAAAATTCTTGTTATGATCAGCGATTAAGAACACGTGATGCATGGAGCGATTAGGAAATGACTAGTAATGCTAAACAGCCTGCTACAAATTTGCATTGGCGAGAAAGATAATCGGTCCTCTGTGAACAACAACTACCACTACTTATCCACTTAGGAGGGAGGAGAGATATTACCGAGAAAAAGTGTGGCATCTTAAACTTATTCCAACTTGATTCACTAAAACGATATCAACGAGGACGAGTGACTCGCCCGTAATTAAAGGGTAGCCTGTAGATCCCCAAACTTTTGCCTTTGGCGTATTCCTCATTTTCCACTTGGATAATCTATCCTGGAATGAGCCTTCGGATGTACATGTCAGCCTGACGTCCAAGAATACCTCATGCAGCTACAGGGCGCCACAGCGCACAATAAGTGAATTAACTCAGGTCTGCCTGTCTGTCTAGAATAGTAAGCATGAGAACGGCATAAAAAGAATACAGGTAGCACTATTACGAAGGTGAAATTCGAAAATAAGCAACAGCGGATTACCAGCATAATTGAATAATTAAGGAACTTATAAAATCGTTCATTTCCGTATGGATCACAGATCAAGCAATGTTCATGAACAAAAACGTTCTTTTCGTTACCTTTAAATAAAATCTGTGGACGGTACGCACTAGTGGGCGAGCGTCGCACACTATACTAAAGGCGCAGCAAATTTATGCCACTTCCTAGAGTGATGTAGGCGAGGAGTGGAGAAAACCGTCTCAGAAAAAATCCTGGTTCACGAATTTTTTTTCTGTAATTCCGAACAGTGTTTCACTTCAATGATGCTGAGATATTTGCAAAACTCCGGACCGCAGGTGTATGCGGTGGGGAACGAACACCCGCTGTTGTCCTTACCGGAAGCAGCGCACTTCACCACCACACCATCCGGGTCCTTCGTTTTGCCTGTCTCTCAGCTAGTTCTATCGATCTTTTACCATCAGCAATCACCCGTTAACGGGATTGATCTGTGGGCCCAAATCGGCAACTAACCCAGTTAACTTGAGGCCGCAGTTATAATCACAATTTAACGTATTTACTGCCTATTCTTTTTAACGGCAGGGCATACATTGTGAAATATAACCTCAATGATGCTGAGATATTTGCAAAACTGCGGACCGCAGGTGCATGCGATGGGGAACGAACGCGTTCAGCACCACACCATGCGGGTCCTTCGTGTTGCCTGTCTCTCAGCTAGTTCAATCGATCTCTGCCATCAGCAACAATTACCCAAGAACAATAACGCGTTCGTTCCCCACCGCATACACCTGCGGTCCGGAGTTTTGCAAATATCTCAGCGTCATTGAAGTTATATTTCACAATGTATACCCTGTCGTTAAAAAGAATAGGCAGTAAATAATACGTTAAATAGTGTTTCACTTCATTAATTTTGTTTTAAAACTTCTAACCATGTGAAGGATAGGGGTAAAGCATTCGGTGTTGATCAATCACTGAAGGATGCGCCATACACTCGACTTCATCACAAAGTGTAAAAGTGAATAGAATAAAATTTGGATTGTTATCCTCCAGACAACTGTGGTACCAACAGCCAACGTGGAGTGATGGAATGTTTGATGAGCCCGGGTAGCGGAGTCTAACAGGCGACCGAACCTGCGTGTATTTCAGGCCATCTCTAGGCATAGCTACACGCTAACAAGTGTTGTAATAGACTTGTCAGAATAAACACTTACATCACCCTTTGAAATGGGACATGCAAACCATTTCGTGCAACTTATAACTCTAATCTGCATATGAATGCTTTTCAGAAACGATAGGAATTGCAAATGCTGCCACTAGGACATGATGGTAGGTGTTAAACAGAATAAAATTTGACTGCAGAAGACGTCACAACGAAAATAGGCGTAAAAGATTAACACCCCAAAACATTTATTGGTGACCGCACCGACAAAGTCTGGCAGTAGGAGAAGAATACTGTAAATCCAGGAATTGAAAACACGATATCAATTTTTATTACACAAACATACGTTAGCTCTATTAGATTTATTCGCGATATGCCCAATAATCAGATCACTTTCGACGGTGGTTTCCTGTAAAAGTGTAGGCAGCAGTGTGATATACAGACTCTATTACATAGTTAATGAATGTCCAAATTACACTTGTTGCGAAACCTACCAGTCTTTCTCCGACTTCGAGTTGAAGAAATTGTGCATGAGCTCAATTGGAAATGGAAAAATTATAGTTGAGTTCTTCTCAGCACTGAAAAAAAAACAAGAAATCGAAACATAAGCATTGAATTGAACATAAGCAAGGAATCAGACATATTTTGTTGATTAAATTAAAAATTCAGACTAACCTAATACTGTTTAGTGTCTGTAGGTAGCGTAACTGAATTGCACATGGAGAAGAAGCTATCTAAATGAACCCTGTCAAAATAAGGAATTGTACGAATTATATGGCAGAAGAGAACGATTTTAAATCTTCCGTTTAAGAGGCAGCCAAATTTTATGTAAAACATTCCACTCAGATCTGTACGAATTTGGTTTACCTTCGTTGGAAATTGAAGCTGCAACGTAACGATGACAATGAATCTACGCCTTCCCAACTAAGTAGAGTAAACGATAAAATGTAGGGTAATAAGCGAATAAGAAAAACCTGAATGAGTTTCCAGTTCACTATGACTTCATGACCATCTTCGTATGGGTGGAGTGATAGGGTGAAGGGTGTTGTATGTGCATTTCAGAATGGTATTTGGAAGTTGTCTCAAAGCTTTGTAGTGACATTTTGCACTGATTTCCGTTTGGGTGCCCAAAATATGTGGCAATATGTTGAACTCTACACTGCCTTAATTTCAGGTACAGAAAAGTAAAGAGTCTCTCTTATTTTGTAAAGCACTCGAAATATGCTCCCTCTCGAAGAGGTCTAACCGATCTTTCATTTTAAATCCTTCTCATAGTAACACATTCCCTTCTTTGTTGGCCTCCACATGTTGAACTTTTCTGGGAACAACAGTGTATGCTGAACTTTTTCTATGCTTATGTGATATGTAAACTATGAAAGAGGAGCACTTTATTCCTGTACGTGCCAAAAAGCGTCAGTGTTCTTAAAATTTAAAGATACCTTAGTCTTTAAGCATTAACATAGGTATAGGCATAATTCATTAGCGACGTCCACAACGAAAAAGTTTTGGGCTTCTTCAACAAAAATATTTAGTCATACAAATGTCTCGCTATATTCTTCTCCACTTCTGCAATAATATCACTTGCGCCATCTTTCCAAAACACATCAATTCTGGTGAAACACTAAAACGGCATCAAAACTCAAAGAAAACCTAAATATGCGTGTCGTTCGTCTGTATTCGTCTTACATGGAGTGCATAGAAGAGCATATGGTTACATAGGAAAAAATATCCCAGCTATTTTCGTTCTTCCTACTCAACAAAGCGTACAGAGCTACTTAGTTGGTTAGTTATCCTTACTAAACAGGTAAACGCTGTAGAAAACATTCTGAATGTATAAAAAACCAAAAATAACACGAATAAGGATATTTCACAGTAAGAAATGTATTCGCTACTCATACTGGGTGAAGCCGAGCAAAAATTTAACACCCGCATTTCTAGGTCAGACTTATGAATCAGTTATTAGTTTTAGTGGGACTGTAGTTCTCTTATGCTATTAAAGTTATAATACTGAAACCGAAAGTCCACAATATTAGGGTTCAATTAAATATGCAGTAACATCCAAAATCTATCCCGCTACACAAAAATTGGTAAGATTAAAAGTACTGTCAGCAAAATGGGAAATTAGTTTTGAACGAAAAAGTCCGAATAGAACCAAAACATATTTCATCACTTCTTTGCATGTCGACAATACAGACACCCTCACGACTTAGTGGATGCATATTGCTTATTACCTTACCATCCTTTTAATCAACAAGTAATAAAAGCGATAATGGAAGCGGTCTTAGCAGACACAACATCCTTCCAAACAGAGAAATTTTTTAGATTTCCAAATCTACTTACCACCTCAGCAGCTTGGCGAAGGGCTTGAGATGCCTTCTGCTCGCCTTCAGCAGCGATCACCTACAAATGTATCAGCGGATTGCAAACGTGGTCCGATTTTACAAAAATCTCCGATTTCCGCCAAGCCTAACCTTCGCACCAGCTTCTCGTGTTGCCTCAGCTTCGGCCGCCATGGCACGCTGCAACTGTAATGGAAGACGGACGTCCTTCACTTCGACCCTCTCTACTTTCACACCCCAAGGATCTGTTGCCTCGTCAAGTGTACACTAAAGTTCTGAATTTGATAACGCTTAACTTCACCATATTCACTAAACTTCCCATCGCCGAGAGAAACAACTAGTTTTCGTCTAATTTTAGAGAGCTGAAAAGAATAAACATCAAAAGATGAAGTAAGAAAATAGTTTTTAACCATTTGCTCACGTCATACACATTATTATTTGCCCCGTTTATTTCTGTTATTTTTTTCCTTCATCTTTTTCACATTTTTCATCAGCACTGTCCTTATCACACTATTCTTGCACGTTTTAACTCTTACTCGAAAAGAAGACCTCGGGTCCTATAAAACACTCCTCTTCCATTTTACTATTTCAAGCTTCATATTATCCAAATAAAAGCAAATGAACATGCAAAATTTCATTCAGTAGAACCTAGTGATATTCCCGATGGATCATTCATGTTTGTAATTGCAGCTCTTTCGCTGGAAATCCTAAACACTTCCAATTCCGTCTTCAAATCTTCGAAATCTTTAATTTCTAAAGATATCTGAATTCGAAGTTACACGTCTAATTAGTGGGATAAATCAAACTTGTTCTAAAAATCTATAAAGTTGTGAAATCCTGAAACACTCTGATGACCGAGAATTTATTGCCAGTTTTCGAAAAATCAGCTTTGCCTCCAACCTTTAACCACTTAATACGGACTAACTCTTTAAAATGTTACTTTTTGCTTTACTTTAAAAATGATTTCCTTGTGTCCCATTACTTGGCTCTTGATGAGAAATAAAAAGAATAGCATTTCGCTGTAACTGAAACGTCCCACTTTTTTAAAGCGACGTCTAGGGAATACAAATACTAGACGGCACGTGCTGGTTCTGGCTGTGTACAGAATTTCTATCCAGTCTTACATTTAACAACAATACTTTATATTCCAACCACACCTTTTTTACTATTGTTATGCAGTCTCTTTATCGAATCCTTTTTATATTACATGGAATGTGAAAAAATTTAGAAAAATAACTTTATCATTTTACATAACCCGTCATCACGTCTACTGTCGGATCCTAACATTTCTCATTCTATTAGTTTTCCTCGCATTCATCGTCCGCAATGATCTTCGAACAGTTTGCGTATTCTGTTCAAATTTTTGAGCTTGCACGAAGTTGACAAACAAATTTTATTCGAACAGCGTTTCGACGCCTTCATCTTCATCAGGATCGAAATCCTAGGCGATAGACCACAGTTCTTCGTCCTCTCATAGTGGCGCCTTCGTAACCCGTCCCGACGCGGATCTTCCTCAGTGAAGCATCTCTCGAATAAGCCATACTCACCCGACGACGCTCTTTTAAAGAGGGCGATAGATACTGATAACAGTGATTGACCGGCGACAATGACCTGTTTTTTCTGAACATATCCACCCTGCAGAAGTGGTATCATTATCAGTTGGCATAGAAACCTCACTTTTTGTTCCGGCCTTTGCTTGAGGATCTCATCTTCCTTATGAATGTCGTAGAAAGGTGGTCGAGTCGATTCTTCTTATTATGTTTGAAACAGCTGGACTAAGGCGTTCGCATATGGTTTAAAGGGAATTCGTTGTGGAGGAGTCGAACTAGCGCCTTTGCTTTCTGATCGACGGCATCATTAGCTATTGCGCTACCTCCTCTATGAAAGATTAATTTTGCTACTTTTACGATCGACTTTAAAAAAAATTCCATACATTACCTAGGAACGAAAATCTGAAACGTATTCATGTGTTCTTGCTGATTGTGTTTTCACGAAATTATAAGTTTCTAGCCGTATGGTTAGAGATGCCCTGAAATATACAAATCATCGGTGTTTCCATGCCGCGTTGCTGACCGAAAAGCCTTCCATCCCGCCAAAATCGGAAAACTGGCATCGGATTTACCAAGAAAGATGAGAGCACTGAACTGATACGCATACGCCACCGTAAGGGGCAACGATACACTCGTTCACCTCTTCGACTCTTAAGCTAGTCGAACATTAAGCGATTGATGAACACCAAAAACTTTATCTTTCTACATTTTATTCTCTCAAGTCACCAGGGGTTCGTTCCTTCGTGGCAACACGACAGTGCTCCAGCATGTTGAACAGAGATGCGCCAACGAGACAGCATCCCCTCTAACAGGTTCAACTAACATGAAAAGCAGTTCGATATTTTCGTAAAAAAGAAGTAAAAGTAAAATAGTAACAGATTAAAAGTGATATAGGCAAGCATGAACTACTGTAAATGTCACCAATTTAATCCTCACGAGGATTTGAATTACACCAGTGCTATATCTACTGCTAGTAATATCAACACCAGGTTGCGTCTAAACTCATTCAAACGAAGGCGCTGAACTAAATTCCCTAAAATTCGAGAAGTTTGGAGTTAACCAATCATCTGCATCACCTATATGACGTGTCCTTACCTAGATCGTCGGGTGGTGCCGGCAAAGTTTCCCACTCCCTGTCGCATGTTAGATTAACTCATTGTGTGCAACCTACTCAAAAGACTCAAGCATTATCATCTTCTTTTGGGAGATCCTCGTGAAAAGGGTTAGGCCACACAGTCGCTGTTGCTAATGTACGATTCGCATCCCGTTGACCCAGCACTCAACAGTTACTGACAAGTTGTTGTTATTAAGGCACAAAACGTATGCAACCCAGCTGATTTTCAATATCCTGGAGAGGCAATGCCTTTGATGTTTGTCCTTCAATTTAACTTGAAACACAAGATTTTCTCCATTCGCTGCGTGATTTGAGATGGATGCACCTAGCCTCATCCTCCTCATGTTACGTCCGATAATGCTAACCGCAGTTCTTCCTCCTCATATAGCTTTGAGCTTCCATAGCCGAGAATCACAGGCCAGATTTGCATTCAATCACCTCCAGCGATTCTCAATGAAGTCGAATGCAAGCCTCACCCCTCTGGAATTGATCAACGCCGAGAACATTGTCCTTTTCTTTTATTCGGACAATGCATAGACCAAAATGAAACAACAAGTATTCTCTTTGTAATAATCCACATAGAAGCGTTTCTACAAAGTCAAAAAAGTCATAGCTGTAAAAAGAATACGACACTACTTGTCTAAGATTATAAATAGTAGGCTCGATTAAGTTACTCTCTCCAATACGTTTTTACCTCAATGATAAGCTCGTATCGCATTTTAAGAAAAAGCAAGGCTTCAGCTATCCAACAATAGTTCAAAAGTCTTGAAGATGCTAATACTTTTAAATTCCAATAATAAAATCAAAATATCATTCAACCACTATGAGGCTGAGATATTTGCAAAATGGGTTGACGTATTACCCATCGCATCACTGTGGCCGCTTCGCCTTTCCCTTAACCACTTCTCCACCTAACCGTGCCATTACAATCACCCATCAACGGGAATGGTCTGGAGAGCACAAATCGGCATTATACCTAGTTAAGCTGAAGCTTTAGTCGAAATCACAATGCTTAACTTCTTAATCACCGCCTAATGGGAAGTAAATAAAAAGTCAAAGTCAAACATTATGATATCAAATTTTATCGGTCACAGTTACATTCCTAATTTTAAACATTATCAAACCAAGAGCAGAAAGCTTCGATTAATACCTGCATTTGATGTGAAATTGCCTCTCTATCTGATAGCATTTCCGCAAGGGTCCTCGTCCCTAAGATGTTCCTTAGTGTTGTCTGCGCCAACAGTTTTGTCGAACGAGAAGCGTCCTCCACATTTGTCACCTAATTGTGTTAATCAATTCCGAGATGAAATTTAAGCGTACAGCGCAATTAAACAAAAGAACATAACAAGCAGGAAATCATGGAAGACATCAAAACAATAAGCCTTGCGATAACTGGAATTAACAAAGAGATTAACTTACCTACATATAACCTTTTATGCAAAGCTTTCAACCTATAGCATGACTACACTTACAGTGAAGACAATCCTAAGTGAAGCTTCACCTTAAGCTGTATAACACTAAGTGGAGAAATGTATTACCCAGAAATTTGCAAAGGCTGGTTTCTTTCCACTACTTGCTTCTATGTCTTAAAGCTAGTTCAGCTTATTAAATATAATAATTACTAAAGTTTCTGAACTTCGTAGTCATTCCTTCCTCCTACTATTAGCATAGTTCTGAAGTTTTTACAACTTCTTGACCCATAATATAGGCTCTCCGCTTAGCTTGCTAGCTTGCTTTTCGATTAGAACGCTAGTAATTTTTCGGCGACCCCCAACTTTCTCGTTCTTTGACAATAAAAGATAATTTTTCAATAACTATAGTGCTTTGGTGGCTGAAAACATGACAGAATTGAATGAGTGACTTTAAGCTATCGTTCTAAGGACATGAATGATATCTACGCTACTAGTTTGTGTTACCATGGTCCATTATGCAAATACATTGCTGTCAGCATTTGGAAGTATTTCGAAGCTCATATTTCGGCGCTTTTCCTACCCGAATATTTCATACAATGACCATGCGTTTACAATGAAATGACAGGTAATTGCTAGCCCAATTAGCGGTCAATTAACTTTGCCAACAAAAGATTTTCTGGAAATTATTGAGTGAATAGAGCTTTTCTATAGCCTTTCTAGTCTCGACCCTACTATTTAGATTTGCTTTAGATTGACTATCTGATAAATATACATGGCGTGGCAAAAAATTTTGAAACCCACTGAACTGAAGATTGATACCATAGTGTCCATACCTGGAGTCATGAGTAAATCTTCTTCAACACCCTTTATTAAATGTTGTTTCAATGTCAGTGTTAATGCCTTTAGTATTTTGCTGACGGAGAACAAACAATCACATTCCATAGAGTTTCGTCAGCAGGAAAAAAGTCCCTTTATAACAAAGAATTCTGAAGCCCTCTAGAAAATGACTCGTTTTTTCACGCAATTTACAGAACTACTTGATTGTTTAAGATTTCCGCATAGAAGTAGTTGTTGGGAAGCATTTCTCTGGTTCGTAGCGCTGATGAGATTTCCAGTTGGTCAATTTAACTACTTTAAAATCATTGTAAGTCAACTGTAAGAAGAGGAATCACATAATAAATAGTTAAGTCAGAAGTGAGCTTTAAACTAGGACCCAGCGACAATGTAAAACAAGTATTTATTTCAAAATCTATTTGTTAATTTCGCAACAACAATATTGGCAGTTATTTCAACACCAATCTTATATACTACTTTCAAGAAAATGAGGTTTGAAAGCGATTCCGAACATTATTCCTACTCCTTCTACTCTCTATTTCTCACCATCTTACTCTCTATCTCTCCTTGACTCTCTCACTTCCTCTCTTTATCGCCTTCTCACATTCACGGACTTTCTAAGATATCACTAATCACAGGCATTATTTGTAAATGACTAAGATACCAAAACGAGGAGAAATGAGATGGTTGTGTTCTTTGACTCGTTCTAGTCTTTTTAATGATTCTACTTTCAGCACAAGTATTTGGCCTCTTATACATGATCGGTGCGGTATTGAACTGCTGAGTTCCGATAACTACAAATATTTAACTCATTTCTGTAAAACGTAATGGGGAACATCAGCCGGCTAGTTGTAAGGTTAAGAACGTCTAAAACAGCTCATCTTGAACCTTAATTCTAACACTATAGCTGAGTAAGGTGTGAGAAGTTTTACTATAGTCAGAACACATAACTTCTTACACTAAACAATATAATGTGCTTTTCACAGCTTACCGAAATCGTGGCATTTGAAATACGGAAGTAAACGACGGCATCCACAGCGACTGTGACAGAATCTTTGGAAAGAATCTGTGAAAATAAACAATTAGTAATACCTTGCAACATTTGTTGAATCTTTATAAGCTAAAACGCGGTCTTCTAACATCAACAATTATGTCATGCACTAAATAAATCGGTGAACACAGTTGCACGGTCATACCACACAGTTGCTATGCGCTGTAGTGGAGAACCACGGTAGCCCTACGGCTCCACTGCCCTTTATCCGCTATAGGAATAACCGAAAATTAATGAGCATTCTTGTGATCTGATGCGATTTAGTTGAAATAAGTGGTAGTCTCAATAATCACTACATTTTTGCCTTACCAAAATCGTAATTGTTCAAAATCTCCGCCACAGTTCCATGCTTTCGCTCACTAAAAACAGAAAGCGCTTTTCACTATTAAAAACTTCGGTTTTTTGAAAGGACTGTTTCACAACCTCGAGCTTGACGTTACAAAAGGAAAACGATTCAAAGCTAAATATAGCCTAGAGAGATGGTGTAGCGCCTGACTATGAAATCTAGTAATGGTTGGAGAGGCGCCGACCCACGATGAATCATAATATCAAAAAAATATAGTCGAAGGAAATTATCATCCTACTACCACAGAGAAACCTTTAAAGAAGAGTGTTTCAATGATTTTCGCCTTTGACCACGTTAAGATACGAATGGAAGTAAAGAAGACAAATGATGCTACTGCAGGACAAGGCTTGCCAACGTGTTCCGCCAGTTACCATCTAGAAGCTAAACGAGCTAAAATATGGAACTTTATCTTGCTCCGTGTGTTTATGGATAAAGCGGTCAAAAATCAAAAGTGCTTTATGTAAGATACAACACTTTTACCGAAATGCATGTCACAAGCCTGTGCAATGTCAGCCAAAACATTCTACTTTTATTTGCCACCTTTTTTTTTGAAACTCCAGTGAAATGAAGACGCCATGTAAGGCAGCGGTAGTGATCTCGTTCATTGCGCGGAAGACTCAACCTACCTTAGTGCCGGTTCGACTCTGACCCAGGCCTACCAACCCTCTCATCTCTAAATTCAGTAGTCAAAAGCGCATGATAAGAATGCACACATAAATAAACTTTAAGATGACGTATTTCCGCCGAGACTCTCTCTCTCTCTCTCTGCGACTTCACAAGAAGTGTGAAAATGTTCCTCCCTCGCGAAAACTGTTATATTATCTTTATTTACATGATCTTATAAACTGATCTTCTTAAGCTGACACGAGGTTGGTACAGGTCTTCGCTGCCGTTGTCGTTGTTGCCGATGTTGTTGGCCGATGGCTGACGTTTCGGCGACTTCGTCTTCCTCAGAGCCTGGACAGATTTTATATAAGAATACTTTAATTATTCGGTGGAAAAAGCTAAAGTATGAAGATCAAACTCTTAAATAGACGCCATGTTGAACAGGAAGGCCACCCACCGTGATGTTACGTGTGGGACTGGCCCACCCGTTGCTTACGTGTGGTCGCGAGCAAGACACACCCCAGGGTCAAAATATCATTTTGAAGTAGGGCGCCAGGTCACGTGTGATAGTGAGGCATTCGTCTTTCCTATCCATCATTAGATTTCTAAAATTTATCCAAAACTCCTCAAGAGTTTTGCGCAGTGATGTCTTCGATTTCTGCGCTAGGATTGGCACAGTCACTTCAAAATCATCGCCATTGTGCTTTTATGCCCTATGTGTACCTAGAGGAGTGTTTTGATGAATTTTAGCTTTCGCATCTAGATGTTCTTCTATGCGGACACAAAGTTGTCTAGCCGTTTCCCCAATATATTCCTCACCGCATGCGTTACGCGAGATCAAGTATATTATACCTAAACTCCTGCAATCCCCGTCTCTCCCGTTAGGACAGATCATACAGCTTTCTGAGCTGCACAATCGCTCATAGAGACGGTTGCGAACTAACTGATGGTGTAGGGTATTGGGTGGGTTGTCAATAATCGTTACATAATTTTCAAAACCACTTTTTCTCAAGCACGTCTTAATGGCGTGACTTCCTTCATTTAATATGAATGGTAGCTTAAAGAAGACCTCACTTACGTTCAAAATATTATTTTGGGAAACTACCCAACGTTTTCCTCTAACCCAAGTGGCTTCTACTTCGAAGCCATTGGAAATGGCTACTTTTCGCGCCAGGTTTTGCGATTCCTTCCCTTCCTCTTCTCCTGCACACACATTTTTAGCCGTACGGTACATGTTTTTGTTAAGCGCTTTTTTCATGTGTGAAAGATGAGAGGAGAGGTAGTGAACTAGAACGTTTTTACTACTTGGCTTGCGATACCATTTCGTTATATAGCCACTTACTGAGAGCTTGATTTGGATGTTTAAGAATGGAAACCAGTTCTCGGTTGGTTTTTCATCACGGTGAGTGGCCTTTCTGTTCAATATGGCGTCCATTTAAAAGTTTGATTTTCATTAATACTTCGACTTTTTGCTACCGAATAATAAAAATATTCTAATATAAAACACGTTCAGGCTCTGAGGAAGGCGAAGTCGCCGAAACGTCAGCCATCGACCAACAACATCAACAACAACGACAACGACAACGAAGATCTGTACCAACCTCGCATTAGCTAAAGAAGATCAGTTTATAAGGTCATATAAATAAATATATCAACTATCTATGCCAAGGTTTATAGAAAGTCGGTCTTTCGAGTTGTTATATTATCTATTCTCGAATTAAGGGGCTGTTAACATTAATCACTTCACAGCTCGACAAGTATCACCTAAACATTCGAATAAACAGTAGAAGGTACCAAAAACTATGAAAGAAGTCCGCAAAACTACGAATTAGTTAGGTACATCGATAAAAAAATACCTCTTGAGGAGGAACGTCAAACGAGACAACCCTGAGATCAATTTTCTTATATGAATCGATACACGGCAGTATAAAAAAAATACCTGAAGAGTTTAATAAGAGAAAGTGTGCAAAAATAATCCAGCTTCCATAATGTAAAAATAAATTTGTTAAACAATTTGATTATTGTCGATCACCTACCAGGTCCTCTTGCTCCACCTGGTAGTAGTCGTCCAAGTCGAAAGATAACTGCTCGTTCATACTCCTGGACGACCTGCAGAATACAGCATTTCTAAAGCTTTGTTCTCGAACAATAAGCTACTAAAAATTGTCAACTTTTTGGCATGTTATTGTATTAAAAACTCTACTAAGCACTGGATTGTGAGACTTGCAAACCACAGTACTAAAATAACGTTTGCGTGGTTATGTGACTGCAAGCAGATAGCTCCTCGTCACATAGAACACGTAACGTTCTATTATGCTGTCGCCTATTGAGATACAGGAAAATTAATAAATTTAGAATTCTCCCATTTTTATATTCGTACATCGGATCGATTTTTGATGGACATAGATATGACACGCTCTCAAACCTCGATAATTAAAAGACAACCGGCGTCGCTCATTGGGTAATCCCCAACTGGTTGGTTACTCGCAAGGATACGTGGTAAAAGCATAAAAAAAGGATAAAGTTCTAGGCGTTGATCTATCCCTGAGGGATCCGCCATACACTCTACTTCATTAACCATCGTTTGGAGGTGACTGAATGCATATCTGGGCTTTACAATAACTCGCAGTTCCTTATTTCGCTAAACATGGAACAGCCATTCGTTTTAAGTAGGACATCTATGAAGAGCCTACTATAATCTTAATGATATTCTAGGGCGTCTATATTTTCAAGCACGACAGTGACCATCCTTACTTACAACATCAGCATCAAAATTTCCTACGAAGGATCTAGCACTCAAGAGAAGATGATTAAAGAATATGTCCCATGCTGCGACGAGAAGGAACAGCCCATCAACACGTTACGCCCGAGAAGCATTGAGTACAATGCATTCGACATGAAAACAATGGCCTCTTTCAGCTTCGCCAGTCGCCAAGAGGACTTCGACATTAGTGTTTAATAATTAAGGATACTATATATAATAATGAGCTATATGGCGGCCTCACAACCAAAACACGTATACACAGCAAAATCGTCACTAGCATAAGAATTGAGACTCAAGGGAAAAACGCTACTTGTGGAAATAATTAGGTAAAAATTTACAGTACGGCATGAAAACTGTATAATAATCGAATAATATATGAGTGAAAGTTTACAGGCGAGCACTAGCTGGCGACCTAAGTATCTCAAAAGACCATCAAAGATGCAGTTCTAGTGAACTTTTTATGGCACGGTATTATGAGAAATAGAACAGCAATGGTGATGAGATATTTGCAAAACTCCGGACGGTAGGTGTCTGCGATGGGGTTTGAACCTGCTATAACCCTTTCTGGAGCCTAATATGTTCACCACCACACCATGCGGGTCATTCGTTTCGTATATCTCTCAGCTAGTTTTCTATAGATCAATGCCACCGGCAATCACCCGTCCACAGGATTGATCTGGAGAGCCCAAATCGGCATTCAACCCAACCAAGCTATTCTGTAGCTGGAAATCAGATTGCTAACTTTTTATTTACCGCCTTCTACATTTTTTCACGGCAGGGTATTATGTGTGATACAATCACAATGCTGCTGGGATAAATGCCAAAGAACAATAGTCGATTGACTTGACTCCAGAGCGCGTGCGGATGAAATGAATTTTAGATTGAAGTAATAGAAAATGATATTTGTGGAAAACTGATTCGTTCCGATTTATTCGATATTACTTTCCTTTCTATTTTAACTAACGTCTCGGAAACTTGAATAATACGTAAACAGCGTGAAAGTGTGACCATCGCTATTTAACGTGTTAAAGAGAGAGCGATGAAAGGAGGATCTCATATCATACAAGATTCCGAGGAAATCTGATGTTCCCACCTACGTCGACGAACAAAGATCGGACGCTGTATATGCCAAGCTGTCAAAACCGGGTGGGCCGGATATGTGATGTGTTTTAACGACAACTGCTTGATAGGATCCGTTAGCGACTGAGCTCACAGATTGCTAAACTCACAACGAGGAACAGGAGACAGTTTTGTTTCCAGATGAAGCATCTAAATAAGCAAAGAAGCTTACATTCCTAAAAAACGGGGCTAAAGGCACCTTATGGTACTTTACAAGTCGGAAAAGCATTCACTTCACAGAATGAAGTGGTGAACGTATCCATTAAAGCGGAAGAAGCTTGGACGGCTTACTTGCTCTCTCTATGAAGAAAAAGCCATCTAAAAACTGCGAGTTTCGCCTTAAACCCTTTCAAGTGCACTAAAAATGCTTGCCTTTTTAGATAACAGGTCGTCCACAAGCAATATCAAGACAATGATTTTCAAAATAAGCAACTGCATACAAGAAATTGAATTGTTTATTAGTTTGTAGTTAGCATCAGTTTGGATAGAACAACCCTCCTAGAAATCTAAAATGAATAATAAACATTTGTTAGAACACTGGTACAAAAGGAATAGCAAAAATGAACCAGCTGAGAGACGGGCGAAAAGAAGGACCCGCATGGTGTGGTGGTGAACTCGTTAACCCTTGGAAAGAGTAACAGAGCGTTCGTTTTCCCCGCCGCAGACACCTGCGGTCTGGAGTTTTCCAAATATCCAGGATCATTGTGGTTGTTTCACACATTTCCCTTCCGTGAAAAATTGTAATAGGAAATAAAAAGTTAACAAAAAGAATTGTATTCCAAAAAAAATGAAAGAATCCAAACCTTTATACACAAGCAGGCGGAGAGCGGAAGCGTAACTGCAACTAATATATATGAAAATATCGTCAATATCCAACCACAAACGCTGAATTCGACCACTTGATTAGCTGAAAAAAGAAAGCCGCAATATGTACAGCGTTGTTGCAGCTCAGAAACTAAGCCATAAACACAAAGCAAGCACGTTTCGTCACAGAAGACGATTCAGTTTCTAGCTGCTTACCCCTTACTTCTATGAAACGAGCAAAAAATGGTGTTATTCGTCACAGTTCTTGATTCAGACGAACACACAAGAAGCTGTAAAGTGGGAAGTGATTTTTTCGACAATTTCTTGCAGCTAATCGTTCTGTGCTACGCAGACTCCAGCCTACTTATTCTAAATTGTGGGTTACATATCACATTCCTGCCACATCGATCCATCATCAGACAGCTCGTTCATTCTAAATTAATTGTGGCTGCAAAAAGAAAGCTTGTCTTACTTCGAATGACGGCTGATTGAGCATCGGTTTAATTAGGACAGTGATGCCGCTTGGATCTTTCAACAAAGTTTCCACGAAATTCACGAAAATTTGAGCAGTTCAGAACACTACTGATCCATAAATCAAGTTCGAAAAGTAGTACGAAAGAGATATGGATGTACATCCCGAAACCAGGAATAAATGGAAGCAGTATGTCATATCTATATGCAACAATTCCCATTTTCAAAGATCCACTTTCAATTAACCACGACGTTGCTCAATAAGCCATTGTTTTTGACGATCTGACATGGGTTTGCTAATACGACATTTATTTCACTATAGCTAACATTTCCCGCTATAAACACCCACATATACAGAAATAGTTGGACGACCAGTCGTCATCTGACGTGTGAACTTGTATGAAGTGTAGACCCTAATAACCCTTCTATTTATTTTGTTGCCCTATAATGACCATTAATAGAAGCATTCATGTTTATACATGTCTTCAAAAGCACCGTGATAGTCCGCCGTATTCTGTACTCACTGATATAATGAATGCTAGTTGAGTGCAGTTACTACCGCAGTCCTAATCAAACCATGCCAAGACGCACGTGGGTTTTCATCATACTGGTCTTTGGATATCTGAAGCAGTTCTGCTGCCCTACGGCTATCATTTTCCAGGACGGTTGCGATTCCTGCGATTACTCAACTGACCTTTGTTACAGGCTGAGACCTCAAAGACCTGCACAGAAGGCTTGTCGCTCTTCTTCTACTGCAGCAATCTATATTATTTCTTCATTGACATATTATGCGCAATAAGAAATAAGCGCGGCAGTTCTAGAAAGAAAGCAATTAGACAAATTTGCCTCAGTGAATCAATGTTGAACTATTCACTAACTCAAGAAATGGAGAAAATGTAGTTTCCCGATCGATATACGTAGGCATATTTTACGGTTTGAAAATGCGTCTGTGTTGTACGGTATATCACCTGAGTGTCCCTTTCATCTTGTATCTCTTAACAAGCACTCTAATGGTGAAATAATTAAGGGCAAATGACTACAAAAACAGAAAGCTACAAAAAAGATAGTCGAACCAGTGAATGATCCCGTCAAGATTGCACCAATTTACTTCATCAGAACACTTTTCTAGTTAAAAAGATCACCTTCAACGTTTTTCACTGTCAAGAAGAGCGATGGAACTTGCAAAGTTCGTTACTGTGCCTGTTAGAATTGATAGAACGAAATCTCCTGCATCAACAACCACGGAAACGAATCAGTCATGCTGTTCCTTAGTTTAATGCCAGAACGACGTTATGTCTACGACAAGCGTGCAAAGACCTTCCTCCAAAGTTCGATAGCGTTTAAACTGAATTGCTAGCAAGGAAATACAAAGAAAAAAAATAAAGTCTCATCCTTTGGGCGGATATCTACTATTTTGCCTTATGAAGGATACTTAAGCAGTGTCACATCACAGATCATCCAAAAGAACGTACTGTCGACGATCCTCGTCGGCGGGTTCCTACCAGATGCTGCTTTTCGAGCAAAAGCACTTTCCATTTCCTACCAATCGTCAATAATCAGGAACACATACAAGCATTGTTGAAATAACACTCTGAAAAATGTACGGCCTCCATTAGATCAAGAGAAACAACGTAATGACTCGCAATATGAAAGGAGAAAAGAAGTAATCAGTGACAAATTCATGAACACAAGTAATGATGAAAATAAGAAACAGAAAGAAAAATTGTTAGCTTTCCAAATGAGGTGTCGTATGAATAAAAAAAAGGTAGAGGATCGCATTTTGACGAGCCATTCGCCAGCAAATAAGTATACCTGTTTTATCGCATACATTCACGAGGAAACCTAATTTTATGGATGAGTCCGCTGTGAATTAAAATTGGCCTGTGTAGCCACGCCTTCTCAACCACTCCTGTCGTATTTTGCACCACACTTTTTTAGTAATTTAGTTTTTTATGGTTCATGTTTTTTTTTTCCAGTGATTCCTACATTTTTCTGTATTCTAAGTATCCTATATAATATTCTATCAATCATGTCTTGAAGGATTTGCAACTGCTAGGTGTGATGAAAATAGCAAAGACGTCTGTCATACAACCAAATTACTATCAGTCTTTAGCTAACTTCACAACACATTTTGGGCTGTTCGAAAAACCGGCTTTCTATAAACTTCGGCACTGATAAAAATTGACGCTAATCTTACGAGCTGCCCATGCTGAGCTGACGCGAAGTTGGCATCAGCTGTTGTTGTTGTCGTTGTTGCTGTTGTTGTTGTTGTTGCTGTTGCTGTTGCTGTCGTTGTCGTCTTGATGGAAACTATTATAGTACTCCCTTCAATAAAAATTCCCTCTCCGCAGGTGAATAAATTCGGACGAAAAAGCATCCTACAAAAATACCAAGAGCAGAGGATCATTTTCAACACACCAGGTCTGGCACGAGGTCTCAGCTGGATAAGTTATACATGGAAAATATGAAGTATAACAAAAAATTCTGCGTGACATGAACTAATTGAAGTGAACTCACATCGCTACAAGTTCACTAGTGGAATGATTTACCTGTCGTTCAGCATAAAACAAAAGATTTTAAGTTAGGTGACTCAAGAGCATACTAATAATGTCTTTCTCGTCCCTATGGCTCGCCACAGATACCAATTGGGTTCAACTTCGCCGACAAGCTCCTTTTACGAAGGAATAAGCTCAGTCCTCCTGCTTCTATTATGAAGGGTGAGGGAGGGCATGCACGTTCATGTGTACCTGGACATGTTGGCTATTTGTTAGTGATAACGTCTAATCTCCCTCAGTGGTACCTCTCAGTCATATTTTTATATTCTCCTGGGCAACATGTAACACGCAGAGCATAAACTGCACGTATACAAACAATATGCAAGTATGCACATAGATACCGTGCCCACACATGATAAAGTCAAGTCGGTTCAGCAGGTATTCTATCCCTTAGATTCATTTCAATATCACATCAATCTGTTCTTCCCTCGCATCTAACCACCTGAAACCATTACCTGGAAAACACGGCGTACCTCAAGCAGGACTAAGGCACGAAATTATATGCCTAAAAGAGAATTTTGCGAATTGTCAAACTGCAAAGAAGAACTGCCCCATGAAGGTCATGATTCCCTATGACGCGTATTCAAGGACAACGCTGAGCGAGAGCTATTTGGGGATAAATTTTGTTCCATATCGATTAGGATAAAGTTTAGTAATTTAAACAATAGCACTTCAACTTATTATTTACTGCCGACTCTTTTTTAAGGGCAGGGTATATTGCGAAATATAGCTTCAGTGATGCTGAGATATTTCGCAATATATCCTGCCATTAAAAAAGAGTAAGCAGTAAATAATAAGTTAAAATTGTGATTATAACTACAGCCTCAGTTTAACTGGGTTCGCTGCCGATTTGGGCCCCCGAATCAATCCCGCTGATGGCTAATTGCTGTGGCAAAGATCGATAGAACTAGCTGAGAAACAGGCGAAACGAAGGACTCCCGTGGTGTGGTGGTGGACGCGTTACTCCCCGGAAAGGATAATTGCGCGTTCGTTCCCCACCGCAGACACCTCCGGTCCCGAGTTTTGAAAATATCTCAGCATCATTGAAAATAGCACTTTACACAATGCTCATTTACTCAAGCTACCCCACTGTTAAAAAAGCCTAATTAACGACTAGTGACTTTACAAGCTAAACAAACGAGGCGGCTGTAGTAAAAGAAACTGTCGCGTTACAGCTGAAGTCATTTTTAACAGATATTATTATCGTGGAAATGACTCCAGCAGCAGATCAACCACCACTACCTCTATATATCGATGCAATTTGGAGACGTAGATAGAACAGGAAACACATTAGGGCTCTTTGTTACAGGACCTCATTAAGAATTCAAATCTAATTAACTGGGTCACTTCGGCATTGCAAGAGAATTGTGGAGATGACAAAGTAAACCTATAGTAGAAGATATGATTATGAGCCTATGAAATGAGCGTGATGTTAGTTACCACTTTATTACAACCTAACAGAGGCTGCTCGTGCACAACGCGGCGTGTGGTGCAGATTGCAAAATGAAGATGAGATAGTGTAGTGCGGTGGAGAAGCACGACTGGCATAGGCGCATGAACGATTACAAATTGAGGGAGTCGGACGTCGATATGGTGCTCCGGCTGAAGCATGAGCACGAGGACAGACCGAATTTGGACGTGGCTAGAGGAAGAAGAAGAAGAAGAAGAAGAAGACGTGAGGTGATGTGGGCGTTCGTCCTGAGTGCGAAGGGTCACCGATCACAAACTGAGGGAGCTCGATGTCACAGTGACGCTCCGGGTGAAGCATGAGCACGAGAATATAACAAATTCGGACATGGCTAGAAGAAGATGAAGATGTGCGGTAATGCCTGCGTTCGCGTTTGCCCAGAATTCTAAGAGTTACCCATAGAAAATCACTACGAACACTTCTTGTCACAAATGCGGTGAGAATCAGATGATTGGGAAATGCCGAAAAATCACACGCACTATCCGACGGGGCTGTTTAAACGGGCAACATTAATGTTATCGTTTGTTAGTTACGCTAGACTATATGTTGCAGTATATTCTAGACCTACACAACGAGTTCTTCCTAGTATTGAAGTTCTTTCCTAGTATTCGTGAACGCAAACTGTGTTCTGTTCAACGTGGATATGTAGTTACTTGATGACAATTTGACAATTTCATTTGGGATCGCTGGCAGCTCTTTTTTTCATACCGGATAATTTTATGATCCATTCTTTTACGTCTTGTATACATTCTAGCTTCGAACCGTGCTTTGTCAGTTTTAACGGATTCCTACGTCAGCAGTCTCCGTTATATGAAATTCATCATGGCAATCGGTTCACTATATGCTCAACACGCTAAGAAATATGGTAATTTCTCGCTATCCACTTCGATTTTCTAAGAAATGGAAAGAAGGAATGGAGCCTTTTCACGTGAGCCGGAAAGGAATGCGTTTCTATAAGTCAATTGAAGTACACTTTCCAAGGAAAAAAGCCGCTTGCAAGTG